GCATAGTGTAATCATGTTCAGTTTTGCCCTGGACTACGTGGGTCGATCAAAAAGTATGTAGACTGTATTCTCGATGTCCAATGTTTGAAAAGCTTCCATTTTAATTTGAAGGAATCTTTAGCAAGACATCCAAAAATTTCACATATGTGGGTAATGTGGTTAACGAGATATTAGTCATCACAACACATTGGGGTATAATATTTGTAACAAAACTGCAGAAAATTAAGAACGATCTGTCATTTGGTACCTCTTGGATAATGGTAAGACCTCAGAGTATATCATATAAAATATGTTCAGTATAGTATTGGATGACTTCCCGTCATAATCAACAGTCAAAGATTTGGATTGCTTAATTTAGTCGAGGGCTGTTTTTTAAGGAAACCCCCATTTCAATCTTCCTAAAACATTGTGTCCGGATATTCAAGCTGGTACATTTTACAATATATTGTGAGCTTTTGACACTTGTGTGTGACTGCTCAGTGTTTAGTTTGAACCCTTGGCATCACGTATGAATAAGTGAAAACATTAGAATAAGTTATGTCCTTATGATTACGTCATCTGAAAGGGGGATGGGTAGTGTCTCCAAAACAAGCTCTTTCAGTCAACATGAAGGGGGGAGTCACTTTAACAAGCAATTATAATTTCAATTGGCTTTTTTATGAACTTTAATATCTAAGTGTGATTCTAGGGGACTTCTATCAATCTCAAACACACAAAATATTTCTTGCATATTCTGTTAAGTTTTTGATGCATTTATTGTAAATTTTGCCTTTTTTGAGGGTACCAAGATAAAAGGTCAAACAAAATGGGGATTGTGAGACTGGAACATAGCAAAACCAAATTGCTTGAGCTTGACTGACTGACTGAATTTGGTTTTACGCCGCTTTTAGCAGTATTCCAGCAACATCACGGCGGGGGGACACCAGAAATAGGCTTCACAAATTGTACCCATGTGGGGATTTGAACCCGGGTCTTCGGTGTGACGAGCCAACGCTTTAACCATAAGGCTACTCCACCGCCCGCTTGAGCTTGACAGATAATATGTAGAAAAATAAAACATAAAAATAACTGTATTTGTATCGTTTTCTTGGTGATTCTACATACTTTTTGATCGCCCCTCGTATTACAGTTAAAGCACCAGAATGCTGACTTTACTACACTATACATGTGGGTAGAGTGAACTGTATCTCTTAGATATATAGAATAATTTACAACTTGGAATAATGGATGACAAGTCCCTCCAGAAGTTATGTTAAAATCACTCTTACATGCCAATGCATTTACAGAATTATTTCTCTCAGAACAGGGTGCAGCTCAAGCTTTTTCTTTGAGTTTTGACATTCACAAATCAATATTACCTCATCAACAGCAGCAATAGTTTCTGTCTCAGCACAATCACAGTCGGACAACCAGGGTAAAGAAAACTTACCAACAATATATCAAGCTGGGTGGGGATGAAGGATGGTGAAAATAACTTTGCTAGTTACCGTACACATGTAAGTCACTTGCCCTGATAACTTTTCCACTGATTTTCTTTGTTGATTTTTAAATAAACAACATAACTAACATTGGAAAGTCAACTGAACACCGGGTTGATATACAGCATACAAATTTGCTTCCCCGACAGACAAAAAAGACTGAACGTTATTTCCATCACCGATCGATGATCGATGCACTGGGCTATTCTCGAACGTCAGAAGTAGCCCCCACGAACTAACCATTCTTACACAGACTCAGTTAAGAATACTAGGACGAACGCTTCGGAGAATAAGCCCTGTACAACAACATGCACTGGACTAGGCTGAACTAATTGTTATAGAGTTGGCCACGCCATATTTATTATGGATTCCCCTCAGTGAGTGAGGAAGCAATATTACCGGGGGACACCCAGAAATGGGCTTCACATTGTACCCATGTTGGGAATCAGAACCTGGGTCAGCTGATGAGAGAACGATTTAACCAAGTCTTCCCACTAGTTCAGACTCATTGGAACTGACTTCAGCCCACCAAACTTTGTTTTGTCCCCTAAATACCGGGCTGCTCCCTAGATCTGACGCTGAACAGAAGCAGTGAGACTCCAATCTCCTCATTGGAAACATGATTAGTGGACCAAATCTCTTCACATTTTAAACCTACTTTCCTCTTTACTGAGAGATCAGGATCAAATACAGCTTTAATTTGCATGCCATGAAATATTGTTTGTAATCACTGGCAACATGACTAAAAGATGAAGAGGAACACTATTATGGATATACAACTTCTTTAGTGCAGTGGATGCAGTGTAGATCCTAACACCGTTATCAAGCAAATGAGGCTGCTAGGATCTACACTGAAATGTCGCATCCACTGCAATAAAGAAGTTGTTTATCCATAAAAAGTGTTCCTCTTCATCATACCAGCTTCTAAATGCCACTAAGTGAGTGAGTTTGGTTTTACTCCGCTTTTAGCAATATTCCAGCAATATCACAGCAGGGGACACCAGAAATGGGCTTCACACATTGTACCCATGTGGGGAATCGAATCTGGCGTGACGAGCAAATGCTTTAACCACTGGGCTACCCCACCGCCCCCAATGCCACTTAAGGAAGCATGACTAAAAGTATATAAATAATACTATCCATGATTCATTTAAATTAAAATGCAATAAATGCGACCAACTCAATGATTCAAAACCTAATTTTGCACCAATCAAATTGTTTATCATCGGCACTCTCAATTCCACAGCTAAATATGGGCGTGAATTAACATGGCATTTTGAATACCAGTGCACATAGCACAAAATTACACTTTGTGGGTTAGTATATGGGTCCAGGACAAATGAAGCTGAACTATTCTTGTATTCTGAACTATGGTCGTGTTCAGGAAATTCAGCTCTCAAGTTAACAGGTTTCTATGATGTTAACTGATTTATTAAACAATGAATTAAAATAACATAATTGTTGTGACGTTTTAACATAAATTGGATCACATTTATTTGCACAAAGGCACACCTAAATTATCTGTCTGGTGCCTTATGGCACCCTTTGAAAAAATTGCATATCTATCTCTGGAGATGTGTACATATCCAATGTTTTCATGCATCCATGGAAGAAATACTGTCCATGTAACATAGAATTTTAAGTCATCCACATATGTATCTAAAGAGATTCAATGACTGTTCGCCACACATCACGAGGGAAAATATACTACCCATCAAAAGCTTAAACTCACTAGTGTAAATGTAGCCACTTACTTCAGTCAGCTGTTCTGAACTAAATTGTGCAAAATATTCCATATTGTTTAAAGGTACTGTTTACACATGAACTGATGTATTGCAAAACAAAATCGTAATGTTAAAAAGATTATTGTCACGAGTTCAATAAATGATGAAAATCAGTGAATATTGGCGAATTCTTAACTAAACTTTACACCAAAACACATCAGTTCACATGTACGATATTTGCACATGCTTTTCAGCAATTTGATGCATGATCCTCGTACAATTCATCTGCATTAGGTGTGCAGTTGGTTCCCCCAAGTTAGTGGAGAAATCAATCTTTGATGTAACCATATGTATATGCATAACATATAGTGAGTGCTTTAAGTGAGTCTAAACTTTTGATGGGTAGTACAGGTGAGCTAATGTACCCCCTCCCCTTTTGGTGAGTTAACATGGTCTTAACAGAGTTTGATGTTAACGATCCGTTAAAGACTAGTTAACAATCCTTTAAAATTTAACAGGCTTTTGAACAACCAGGCTCTGAAGCGTTAATCGCATTAATTTTGCGTGTGCCACAGTGACACATACAAACCTCCCACAGCCTAGTGACCTATCTGTGTCTCACCCCGTGACACATACAAACCTTCCACAGCCTAGTGACCTGTGTCTCACCCCGTGACATATACAAACCTCCCACAGCCTAGTGACCTATCTGTGTCTCACCCCGTGACACATACAAACCTTCCACAGCCTAGTGACCTGTGTCTCACCCCGTGACATATACAAACCTCCCACAGCCTAGTGACCTATCTGTGTCTCACCGTGACACATACAAACCTCCCACAGCCTAGTGACCTATCTGCCTCTCGCCGACATATACAAACCTCCCACAGCCTAGCGACATATCTGTGTCTCACCCCGTGACATATACAAACCTTCCACAGCCTAGTGACCCTCTGTCTCACACCGTGACATATACAAACCTCCCACAGCCTAGTGACCTATCTGTGTCTCACCGTGACACATACAAACCTCCCACAGCCTAGTGACCTATCTGTGTCTCACCGTGACACATACAAACTTCCCACAGCCTAGTGACCTATCTGTGTCTCATCCCGTGACACATACAAACCTCCCACAGCCTAGTGACCTATCTGTGTCTCACCATGACATATACAAACCTCCCACAGCCTAGTGACCTATCTGTGTCTCACCGTGACATATACAGACCTCCCACAGCCTAGTGACCTATCAGTGTCTCACTGTGACACATACAAACCTCCCACAGCCTAGTGACCTATCTGTGTCTCACCGTGACATATACAAACCTCCCACAGCCTAGTGACCTATCTGTGTCTCACCATGACATATACAAACCTCCCACAGTCCTAGTGACCTATCTGTGTCTCACCGTGACACATACAAACCTCCCACAGCCTAGTGACCTATCTGTGTCTCACCGTGACACATACAAACCTTCCACAGCCTAGTGACCTGTGTCTCACCCCGTGACATATACAAACCTCCCACAGTCTAGTGACCTATCTGTGTCTCACCGTGACACATACAAACCTCCCACAGCCTAGTGACCTATCTGTGTCTCACCGTGACATATACAAACCTCCCACAGCCTAGTGAACTATCGGTGTCTCACCATGACATATACAAACCTTCCACAGCCTAGTGACCTATCTGTGTCTCACCGTGACATATACAAACCTCCCACAGCCTAGTGACCTATCTGTGTCTCACCGTGACACATACAAACCTCCCACAGCCTAGTGACCTATCTGTGTCTCACCGTGTGAGTCGCCTTGTCCAGGGGTGTTTGACATGATGATCTTCATACAACTGTACGGGGTGTAGTCGGCTCGCTTTCCTTCCTTGCCATAGTTGTGGCGGATGTTGTATGAGTACTGCTTGTCAAACTGATGATAAACAAGTTTCTTGTTATTGTACAATATTTTTCACCATCACATAACTGTATAAAAACATAAACCAGTGAACTTCTCATTGAAAAGTGCTACCTTATCTTAAAATCCTACCCGTGAAGGTCCGGGTTAGAATGAACTTTCAGTAACCCATGCTTGCTGTAAGAGGCAACTAACGGGATCGGGTGGTCAGGCTTGCTGGCTTGGTTGACACATGTCATCTGTTCCCAATTGCACAGATTGATGCTCAAGATGTTGATCACTGGATTGTCTGTTCTAGACTCGATTATTTACAGACTGCCGCCATATAGCTGGAATATTGCTGAGTGCGTGTAAAACTAACTCACTCACTCTTAAGTCCATATGCACGAGTACATGTAAATAATCCAGTTTGTGGAACAAACACTTACTTTTTCTTCCTTGAGTGGTATTTTAGAAGTTGGAAAGTAGAATATAGACATTCATGCTTGACAATGTTGCACTTATGAAATAAAAGAAGTTGTTATCAAGTTTGTCTATACCTTACTTTTTCACACTACACTGACCTCTGAACACACTCAGTATGTCTCCGCTATGTAATACATCACTAATCCCAATGTTATTAATAGTATTCTTGGGCTTAATGTCACCAAACTGTGGGTGCTACAACATTATGTGCACATGTTCCTATTGTGTTTCACAGCAATGTCATTAATTCATGTAAAATCACAACACAGACATCTGAGATTTTATATATACTGATGGAAATAAATAAGGGACACATGACACAGACTTCAGAGATCTGAGTGTTCCTTATATGATGGAAATTTAAAGGGACACATGACACAAAAGGTTTCTTTGCAAGCTTTATATTAAAATTGCACTGGCTGAAAATCTAAAAATCTAGGGACACTTCAATAAGTGTTTTTCCTCATTTTTGTCCCTCATCATATTTAGTGAGTGAGTGAGTTTAGTTTTACGCAATGTTCCAGAGCTTCTCACTCTTCTGAGTGACAAGCGAATGCTTTAACCACTAGGCTACCCCAACGCCCACTCGGTATATTTAGATATGTTTAAACATCTATCACCATTAGATTGCTAAAGGACTTTTTGCATCAAGGTAAGTGGTTGTCATGTAAATTACCTTTTTATTCTTTAAAATTTATTTGGGCATTGTATTATTGTTGGTGTAGGGAACTATACATCATATCATGACCTAGGTATGGAAATATGAACGGTGTGTCCTTCTGTAATATTGTACTGTTAATGCTCAGCAACTAAAGTAGAGTTAGTGAGTCAGGTTTTATGCCGCTTTTAGCAATATTCATAACAGGGACACCAGGAATGGGCTTCACACATTTTGCCTGTGTGGGGAATCAAACCCAGGCCTTTGGTGTGACGAGTGGACACTTTCACTACAAGGCTCCACTCCACCCCAGCTACCAGTGTGGGGAATCAAACCCAGGCCTTCGGTGTGACGAGTGGACACTTTCACCACAAGGCTCCACCCCACCCCAGCTACCAGTGTGGGGAATCAAACCCAGGCCTTCAGTGTGACGAGTGGACACTTTCACCACAAGGCTCCACCCCACCCAGCTACCAGTGTGGGGAATCAAACCCAGGCCTTCAGTGTGACGCAGTGGACACTTTCACCACAAAGTCCACCCCACCCCAGCTACCAGTGTGGGGAATCAAACCCAGGCCTCTCGTGTGACGGTAGTGGACACTTTCACCACAAGGCTCCACCCCACCCAGCTACCAGTGTGGGGAATCAAACCCAGGCCTCGTGTGACGAGTGGACACTTTCACCACAAGGCTCCACCCCACCCCAGCTACCAGTGTGGGGAATCAAACCCAGGCCTTCGTGTGACGAGTGGACACTTTCACCCTGAGGCTCCACCCCACCCCAGCTACCAGTGTGGGGAATCAAACCCAGGCCTTCGGTGTGACGAGTGGACACTTTCACCACAAGGCTCCACCCCACCCCAGCTATCAGTGTGGGGAATCAAACCCAGGCCTTCGGTGTGACGAGTGGACACTTTCACCACAAGGCTCCACCCCACCCCAGCTACCAGTGTGGGGAATCAAACCCAGGCCTTCGGTGTGACGAGTGGACACTTTCACCACAAGGCTCCACCCCACCCCAGCTACCAGTGTGGAGAATCAAACCCAGGCCTTGCTCTTGTGTGACGAGTGTGGACACTTTCACCACAAGGCTCCACCCCACCCCCCAGCTATCAGTGTGGGGAATCAAACCCAGGCCTTCGTGTGACAGTGGACACTTTCACCACAAGGCTCCACCCCACCCCAGCTATCAGTGTGGGGAATCAAACCCAGGCCTTCGGTGTGACGAGTGGACACTTTCACCACAAGGCTCCACCCCACCCCAGCTACCAGTGTGGGGAATCAAACCCAGGCCTTCAGTGTGACGAGTGGACACTTTCACCACAAAGTCCACCCCACCCCAGCTACCAGTGTGGGGAATCAAACCCAGGCCTTCGGTGTGACGAGTGGACACTTTCACCACAAGGCTCCAGCTACCAGTGTGGGGAATCAAACCCAGGTGTGGGGAATCAAACCCAGGCCTTCAAACCCAGGATCGTGTGTGACGAGTGGACACTTTCACCACAAGGCTCCACCCCACCCCAGCTACCAGTGTTGGGTTTAGAACTACTTTGAACAGAATGGATGTAACAGTATGGAGCAGACAACTCTGGGAATCAAACTGATGATCAACACAGATATTCTCAACCAAAACAACCCACCTTATCCGGATCCATTCCCTTGACAAACTCAGCTCGCCAGAACTTCATGGCTTCTTCCAGAGACACACCGATTCCCTTGAGGAAGAGGCCATACTGCATCCTGCCGCCATGCTTCAGGTGGTGGTTGCTACGGAGACCCTGATGGAGTTGCTGCATACACGGAGGGAAGGATGTCCGAGACAGCTGCACAAAGAACAAGCAGAAACAATCAATTTCTTTTCTTTTATGCTGGGTACCAGCAATGGTTTATTTGACAGGAATTAAGGTCTTTGACATTTTACAAAATGACGCATTGGTGAGCAGCACAAGGAACATGCAGAACCAATCAATTTCTATTCTTTTTATGAAACCAGGGCTCGATTCAAGAGATGTTAACCTACTTGCACCAGGTGCAACAAAAGATAAATACCTAGTTGCACCAGCCAAATTCCAGTTGCACTGCTCTTATCGCAATATGTAATGAAAGAAATGTGCTACTGAATTATTCAAAGCTTAGATAGCAAATAAGCTGACACAAAAATGCTTATAATGTTCAATTTATTGTTGATTTATTTCTCAAAATTGACTTGCACCTGGTGAAAGTTAGACAAATAACTAGGTTGCACTTTGTAATATTGGGTTGCACCAGTGCAAGTAACAAAGCACTAAATCGAGCCCTAGAAACTCTTTAGGGATTGAACCATTTATGGTTTATTTGACAGGAATTTGTCTTTGACATTTCACAAAATGCTGCAGTGTTGAGCAGGTTTAATTTAAGTCACGTCAACAGTATTTCAGCCATATTGTGACTCCAAAGTGTTGAAGTTGATGGGACCTTTGCAAATACTTTGAGTTATTCGAGGTTCCAGACAACCGATAATAATTAATAAAGAAAGCGTATGATGGGACCAAAGTTTTACTTCAATACAACTGGAAGGTTGAACAAAAGCATAGGTACATGGCTCTTGCTGTAGAAACAAGAAAAAATTCCAAGACTTTGTGAATTGATTTGCTTATTGGTGCACACAGAATGGAATATAGAGTTGGTTCTCCTGTTGCAAGACTTTTTTGCTCAAAGCAGATAGGCTGAAAATGGGAAAAACCCAATGGAGACATAAAAAACACCTACAGCACAGAATTGAGTCACTGACATCACGAGCTTTGGGATGTAAATGGGATCACATATGCCTTATCTCAAATTCCATGCTTTGGACTTTATGTAAGCAAGATCACATGTCAAGCAGCTGCAGTTCAATTTGTGATGACATTATTCAGCTTACCATCCATCACTGAAAACTATATAACAAGGAATTATAAATCTACAGTCCTGCCATTTGCTGACAAGTTTTTAAATTTCAATGGTTTTACCAGTGTGTGCAATTTACGCTGGTCCTGTGGTCCCTGGCTAGTAAAAATTCATCAGGACCACTAAATGGTACATTTGCAGTGGTCCTGGTGGCCAGTGAATTTTGTATTGATAGTTATGTAATTTTTAGTTTTTGACCAGTGAAGTGAGGTGAGGTGAAATTGGGTTTAACGTCGTACTTGAGAATATTTCGCTCATATGATGACGTGCGTGTGTGTGTATGTGTATGTGTATGTGCGGATACTTGTACTAGCCCAGACTGAAGCTGGTTTTATAGTGTTAGCCCACTGAGATACCATGCCGCAGTTAAGCATGAATACCAAACTCAGACACATTATACTAACTCCGAGCTGACCAGTCCTTGTTGTACCCATTAATGTCGAACACCAGGCAGGGACCAACAAGTACCACATTTTAACGTCTTTTGGTTTGACGCGGTTGGGGATCGAACCCGCGAATTTCCGGGCGGGTGCTCTAACCACTACACCATGGAGGCAGTCTTTGACCAGTGAAGTACAGACAGGACCACTAATTATTGTCCACTCACTGGTCATGTGGTCTAGTGGGAAAGTTTGAAAGGTCTCTTTCCCTGTATTACTATTCGAGCTTATTTCATGACCTATTTAAGTGAGTGACGGAAAATCGACAGAGATATATAGACCTCCTTCAAAGATGACATTTGGACCCCAATCTGCAAGCAAACAGCAGTAACAATTCCTCCTTTCAATTTTCCAATTTATTGGAATTTATGATGGTAAGAAAATCTTTAAAATCCAAACTTTGAAAAACACGATTTTTTCCCCAGTTTGTGTAACAAGGTCACTTGATTTGGAATCCTGGATAGATCCCTGCCAGCATAAATTTGCAAGCCATTAACTTTATCATTTAAGGTAGATACACAGTACCAACATTGATGATGCCATAAATTGGATTCAGTCCATCACTAGCATGTGGTGTATATTTTGAGGGTCTAGACTCTCTGAAACGTTTATCAGTTTGGTAGGACTATCTGATTTACACACTCACCAAATCAATCATGTCGGCTGTAATCTGTCCCACAGTCGTCTTCTTGCTGTTGTAGTCTTGGCCCAGGTAGCGCTTGCTCAGACCACACAACATCGGCAGCAGACGGTCATCCTCCTCCAGATGCGGCAAGGCTCGACATGTCACCTGATGTGTAATGATCCAATAGGGAGTGAGTTTAGCTTTACTAGCTTTACTATTCCAGCAATATCACAGCAAGGGACACCAGAAATGGGCTTCACACATTGTACCTATGTATGGAATCAAACTCGGGTCTTCAGCATGATGAGCAGTTGCTTTAACCACTAGGCTACCTCACCTCCACCCCCGTAATGATCCAGTAAATACCATCATAAAAGCTGTGTCATTTGGCTGGTATAAGGAATTAGTGTTACAGTGATTACTGTTTGTTCATTTGTATTTGTTTGCTTGTACTTTAACTTTAATGAGTGAGTGAGTTTAGTTTTACGCCGCTCTCAGCAATATTCCAGCTATATGGCGGCGGTCTGTAAATAATTGAGTCTGGACCAGACAATCCAGTGATCAACAGCACGAGCATCGTTCTGCGCAATTGGGTACCAGTGACATTAAATTTTTATGGAGTAGCATGTAATATGTGATTGACACCCCCAAAAAAAAAACACAAAAAAAAAAAAAACAAAAAATTGTATGTACAAAGTAAGTGACCCCCTCTGCATGTCATGTACAAAATCAATGACCCCATCCCCATTCCCATAATTTTTAAGGCATAATTTTAAAAAGAATGTATGTACAAAATTGCTGACCTCACCTAGAATCCATATGGCTTATCCTTACTCATTCAGCACCTCTTTAATTATGACACATATTTTTTCCACATGTTCCAGGCAAATAAGTTCATATTAAAACAAATACAATAGAGAGGTTAATATTAAAGAACCACAAACAACCGTATGTACCACATTCGTCAATCAGAACCTGTTTAGAACTGTAAAGCAGTTGAGTAAGTGAGTGAGTGAGTTTGGTTTTACGCCGCTTTAAGCAATATTCCAGCAATATCACGGTGGGGACACCAGAAATGAGCTTCACACAATGTACCCATGTATGGATTCGAACCCGGATCTTCGGCGTGACGAGCGAACGCTTTAACCACTAGGCTCCCCCACCGCCCCGTAAAGCAGTTGAACTTACTGCAAGAGCATGTGACAGTCTGGTCCTGTAGACGGACAGCAGAATGGACACCAGATCTTCCTGGGCAACAAATGCAAAGCCTCGCTCCAAGTAAACTCTCTTTCCTCGCACCAAATCCAGAGCTTCAGTGAAATGAACCTGTGACAAGAGTAAAGCAACTTGTCAAGAACATATATTCAGTTTTACCCAAAATGCTTACTTACGAAAAAGGTAATATATTATCAACTGTTCTGTCAGTAGGCAGACACATGTCAAAGATGTCTCCAACAATGTCAATCGCAACAGGGAAACTCATTCACGGTGGCTGAAGATGAAGGCTGAGAGCCATGTTTTAGTCATCTGTTCAGTCTAAGTAAACTTAGGCTCAGTATTATTCGTTACACTGCTATACTGAGTCAGTATAGTTTACTCATTGCGTGTATCACTCGGAAGCGATCATGCTGAAAATAGCATTCAGAATCGTTTGAGTTTTTGAGGTAAAGGTGTTAACTTTCGCGATGTGGTAAGCTCTGATTGGTCAGTCCAAAAGGTTAGCTGACGCGACCTTCTACTAGGTTTCGTTAGACTTAGTATAGCAGTGTAACGAATAATACTGAGCCTAAGTTTACTTAGACTGGTAATCTGTTGTGCTATGAATCGTAAGATGAACACATACCTTATAGTACTCATTGACCTCTACTCGGGCAGGTGTGTCACAAGCCACGAGGTATGGCAACACTTCTTTCTTTTCTTCATCAGGAATCTGTTCACAATGGATTAGCTTTCAAATACAGGGATAAGGGAACAGACATCTTCGAACATTTAGAAGAAGAAAATTTGGTCTAACTTATTAATCTTTCATCACACATGCAGCAGACATTAGTCATTGGGGTAACAGTTCCTTACGTACCCCCCACCTAATTTTTAACTATAAACTATAGACTAAACTATAGTGTTTGCTCATCACAACAAGTGTAGAAGTGAGCACTACTCACATGAGCTTCCCACTTTGGGACATGGAAATGACTGATATTGATATATATAATGTGACAAGGATCAGCAGCTCACAAGACTTTCTCCTTGACTCTACTAAACTTTATATACATGTTAGATAATAGTTTTGCCATGTACTGATTACAGTAATAATTTATGGAAACATTATTTTTTGTGTTTTCCATGGAAACCTGACATACAATTGAACTTGTTGCACACAATGAAGTGGACGTAGATGAAGATTGTTATTTTGCTAGCACATGGCATATCTGTGGGTCATGATTAACTTGTGTATTAAGTTTGGTGAACCTAGCATGTATAGTTTTGATGATATGCTGTGGCCAGGTAACCATCAAACACATTTTGCACCAAGTCATGTTTCCATGGAAACAACAACAAACAAATTCTGAAAAAAAATTAAAATATCAAAAGGCACATCAATGGGTAATGATTAACATGTGTGTGAAGTTGGTGAACCTAACATGTAAACTTTAAGAGATATGCGGTGGACAAAACCATCAAACACATTTGGCACAAAGTCGTGTTTCCATGGAAACAGCAAAAAAACAAAATTCTGAAAAAAAAATTAAAATAGCAAAAGGCACATCAATGGGTAATGATTAACATGTGTGTGAAGTTTGGTGAACCTAGCATGTAAACTTTAAAGGTCACATGCAACGTAAAACACAACTTTGCAGATTCTGATACCTTTCGGTATGGACATACCGAAACAAATCGTCAAAAATGCAAATTCAACTTATAAAGTTGAAAAATAACGCGACGAAAAAAAACGCGCGAAATCGAAATTCAAGCGTTTTCACTAATTTTCCCCAGACTTTTCTGGGGAAAACGGTTTCAACAAGCTGGGCTGCTGCCTTCATAGCATGTGCAGAGAAATAGGTTCGCGCAGCTTGGAAGCCGGGTTGTCGGGTGAATACCGGTGAAGGCTTTGGTGTGAGCTATTTTTTTGTTGATATCTCACAGGCGCGAGCTTTTTATATGTTATGACAGTAAATTAACTGTTTATATAATTTCATTTGTCTATTTCACCACACGTTCTTCTTACCGAGACACTTTCTCAGTTCGATACTTAAAAGCAATGTCATTATTTAGCGTTGACACAATTTCTAACTGTGATATAGATATGTCGTTGTCACAGACAAAACTCAATGTATTGTTTTATTGACACCTGTGTGTCTGCCTGCCTGTCTGCTAATGACAATATTCAATACACAACTGCGATCACTGACCACATGCAATTTGAACTTAACACCAATCAGGCTATACACCATAAACAAAACGCATTGATTTATGGCCCGAGTTCGGTCTCTGTCACATTATCTAATTACACAGACAGGCAGGTGTGATACTTGAACACATGACATGTTATGATGTCTGTTGATTGCAAAATGTTATACACAAAAAATGAGCATGTATTTACAAAACCCAACATCTCTATATATACACACACAATGAGCCATGAAGGCGTCATCTGCTAATGAACCAGCCGTTACACTTGAGTGCACACCCACCCGCTCTGACTGGGTGCGGTATCCCGGCTGCTTCGTTTCGAGGGAGGTAAACCCAAGTACAAAATATTGCACTTTTGATTTGCGATTATTCGCTTATAATTTTGTTTATTTGTTTTTTCATAATCAGCAATGCATATTATATGTCATGAAGAAGTGATAACTGTGTTTTAATTATGTTTGATTTTTTGGTTGCATGTGACCTTTAAGAGATATGCTCCGGACAAAGTTTCAGGACGGAAGGACGGACAGAATGAACGCTATATACCCCCGTTACGTAAGGAACTCTTTCCGTCATTGGAGAAATATTTACTTGTACAGAATCTTTTCAGCTTAAGTTGAGATAGTTCAAGGTTTGTGGCGTTGATCACTGGATTGTGTGGTCAAGATTCTGTTATTTACAGATTTTGCTGTAATATTGCTGAGTGTGGCATAAAACTAAACTCAATCAATGTAAGACTAGCTCAAGAAGAGCTGGCAATAGTTAATGTTGACTCAATATACATAATTCACACACTGGAGCCCTGTATCACTATTACTCAGTTAAATATTCAAGTCAAGGGTAAGCTAAACATTGGTTGGTATGAGTGCTGTCTGTCGAAGACTGTAACCTCTTCTCTTGAGACAAACAAAGAACTGTAACATCTATAGTGACTGAGTGAGTAGGGTTTTACGCCACTTTTAGCAATATTCCAGCAAGATCACAGGGGGGCACCAGAAAAGGCCTCCACCATTGAAACAATGCTGGGAATCAAACTGTGGTGTTATGAGCAAATGCTTTAACCACCAGGCTACACCACATTCTCTTCCCACAGAGGTTACTCCTGTCATATCTTCCTACGTAACCTGTTCTAATACGGCCCTTTTATGGTGTGAGCGTTCAAGACTCGTGATTGGAGGCAATCAGACTTAGTTGTGCAATCAGCGACGTTGTTTCAAAAGTGATCATTCGCAAGGCCTCGGTAATTTCCGTATGCTTCGAGAAAACTAAACCTCTTCCCCTGCGCGATGCGCAAACGTTTCTTCTAGACAGAACTCAGTCATGTTATGGCGGATCAGTGGCGTCTCCATCGCCCTCGTTGACAACGGACAAGCTAGCCATTAAACGTCTTGTGTGTAATATCAACACAAGTCCCCGGCAGATGGGGGATATTTGTGGCCCCACATTTGCTTGTGTTAGTCAAGTTGAATCTAAGTCGATGTAACACGAGTTCTGATTGGATAGAAAGAAGGGAGATAATTCGTGTTGCGATCTTGTGCCGCTAGGGGATTTTACGAGAACCGGGAAATATGGTCGTATTAGAACAGAGGTTCGTAGGAAGATATGACAAGTAACCTCTGTGGGAAGAGAATGGCTACACCAAAGCGCCCGGTAACATCTATTCAAAAAAATTTAACACTCAGAGTTAGCACTTACTGGTTTGTAGCCAAGATTGTTGATATTCAGGAAAGAAAGACGAGAATCTTTATTCTCTCGCTGGAATCGGAAACGGAAAAGGTCTAGCTCCTGCTGCAGAAACCATCGTCTCAAATCCTCTCTAAAAACATAATCAAACCACAGAATGGACTTTGTTTGATGAATGAACTATCAAACAGTTTGGGAATTGTGAACTTCACTAATTTGTCACAAAAGAAACATATACATTATTTGTTTAGCTCAATACCTCTTGAGATATCAATGAAACCATGTTGAAAAACAGCAACTTATTATGATGTCTTAATTTCAATGTTAGGTTTGTTTCTTTTAAACTTACGATCTGCAATATGCCAGCCTCAAGATGAAGTGAGACATGTGGTCCAGCCTACGTGCATCCGTTTCATCCTCCTTCACCTCACCTCCATAAGACACCTTGTGGAAAGTAGCACATGGTTGACAGAAATAAGTTTGGGAAACACATGACATGTTCATTTGCTTTGTTTGTAAATTATTATGTTTAAAGCCGCAATAAGCAATATTCCAGCAATATGAAGGCAATCTGTAATTGATAGAGTCTGCACCAGACAATCCAGTGATTGACATCATGAACATTGATCTACGCAGTTGGGATATGACGACATGTATCAAGGACATCTGGAAGCCTGACAACCTGATCCTGTTAGTGGTTGCTTACGGCAAACATAGCATGACAAAGGACAAATTCTAACCCGGGTCTAATGAGAAAGCTTTCAGAACATTGCTACCTTCAATAGTGACTTGAACTTGGTGTTCTTGATCTCCTTCTCCAAGTACGCAATATATTCAGCTGATCCTCGAACATGCCGGACAGAGGCAGTCTCAACAGCCTTCAGAACTGAAACAGTAAAGATGCACTACAACAGGGCTTGACAAAAATGCGGACAACCAGGACAAATAAGAAAATTTGGTTCTGGCCACCATGTGTATATTTCTACTGTTTAAGTAACATTAGCTATGAATAAGACATTGTTCTAAAATGAAAGAATTCTATCTTTGAGTGAGTGAGTGAGTTTAGTTTTCCAAAGATTATAGCAATATTCCAGGAATATATTTTGACATTAGATAGTTACAAAGACACATGAAACAAAAAGGTTTCTATGTCTATTTCGGAAAGAGTTCCTTCCGTTCCCCCAACCCTAAACCTAACTCTAAACCAAACCCTAAACCTAACTTAAATTATGGACTTTTAGTCATTTTTGTGAGTTCTCTAGTAATTGTTGTGTAAAGTTTTGTTAATAATTTATTTATCGAAAGTCATTCCTGCGGCACGCCACGAAATGAACGGAAAGAGTCAATAGGTCACGGACAATTACTTAATGCTACGGGTAGACTTGGTGTATCGGATTTTATTCTCCGACAATTGCCGAATGGATCCGATGCCATTTGGCACACTCGTCCCATTCCGTAATCTACAAATTAACGGTGGCTGGAATGAGCCGATATGCCTCAAACTGAAAAGGGTTGTTGACGCCAGGCCGCCAGACGAGATTTCACGCATGCATGAATGACGCTTTTATATAAATCGTGATTTTGTGACAGAAAAGCTGATGTAGGGAACACTGTAAGGATAATGTGGATCGCACTAAGGAACGATGGAGACATGAGCATGTGTAGTGACGGCACTCGGGTGAGTTAGCCTTCGAATCATTACTTTATGTTGCGTGTGAAAGAGGCTTGAGTGCACATTCCAGACCAATTTCCATTAGCCAAAAATTTCTACATTAACCAATTTCATTATGTACTTTAGACGTTTTTGGTTTCCCGTTTTTGTGTGAATTTTTGTAATTAAAATGCAAAAAGGAAAACAAATGGTACTCACACCGGACATGTACCTGCTATATTGGATTAGGTCCCTAACCCTAACCCTAACCCTAAACCCTCACCCTAACCCCTTGAAATAATCCTAATAAATAGAATGCATTGACCGAACCACCGGACATGTACCTACTATATTGCATTAGGTCCCCAACCCCAACCCCAACCCTAAACCCTAACCCTAACCCCTTGAATTACTAGTAATCCTAATAAACAGAATGCATTGACCCAAGATTGACCGAACCGTGTCAACTGACTGACGTGTCTAGTGTAATGCATTATTACCGCTTCGAAAAATAAAATACTAATAAAACACTTTTCTATGTAATGGTGCAAATTACTGAATGACAAAAATATATATGTAAATTTAAAAATTACAAAATACAAAATACTACACAAACATAACACCTCAGCAGCCCGTTAAAGGTATATATTAATTTATAAATATTATTTGGGATGGGGGAACAGGAGGAACTCTTACCAATTTAAGGGGCTTGATGGAAAATCTCAACAGTAACCGGACAGAAGCTTGGGGTCATTGGGGCCTCATTTGGCATTTGCATACACAAAATCAACTACTTTGTCTCTTAATTACAACAAACCTATGTGGACATAAATGACAAATCCATTGGTTTTTCATATGCAGGGGAAGCATTATACACTGATAAAAATATTTCGAAATTTTTGCTTGCTCGATTCTATATATTAATTATTATGGTTTATTGAATTTTAACCTACATAAACTAGTACTTATTTACATGTAGATCTTTGAAAAATAGTGCGTACAAATGATTGCTGTTTTCTACTGGTTAGTTTACGAGAACAAGTGTATTCCGAAAAGAGTTAGCTGGCTGTAAGTCATAGCGGTCAAGAAATCATGCACAGACAAGGGCAACCAGCTGATTCCTTCCAGTCTGTTCAAGAGTGTGACAGCACTCACTTTTAAGCGCTCGACAGCAAACTCTTCAAATTCCTGCAGAGAAATCGTCTCCTCTGGTGGCATTGAGTAAAACTGAAGTGGGTGTGCATATTTTTGTTTGACTTCTGATTTAATGCCACCTGCCCGTCGCTGTCTTGGTTTAATGATTTCCATATCCAAGTTTCATGCACGAAGAAACTCCCGCCAATTTATTTTCAATGGGGATTCCCTTCCGGTTTACGGGACAGTAACATCGTATATTCTTATAAACTATTCGTGCCCCTTTGAAAAACATTACAAAATAAAACTTTGTATTTGCATCTATCTCGGGTTTTTTTTACATTTTAATCCGTATTACGTATTCCGAATTTAGGGGAATAAATATATAACCGGTCTTTCTCTGAAAATGAAATTCATTCAAGTAGAGTAAGAGTAGTCCCTATCAAATAGTATGGTCGTTTATCATGTGACACCAACAAAACAAAATGGCGATCCCAAGTGCAGTTTTGGCTGCAGGATGGATTCCCTTTGTTGTTGTTATTGTCGTAAGTGTTAAGAACATATCACAAACAATAGAAGGGCCAAATCGTGCTACACCAACTAATATTAGTGACATGCTGCAAAACTTATAAACATGTTATATCTTTGAAGAAGACGCATTAGGTAGACAGTGATAGATGCGTACTGCAATATTTATAAGATATGTCACTTTGACATGGACGTCACTCTTCTACGATATGTATATCTGCACATGATTCAGCAGGTTAGAGATACCAGACCGGCGTAGGGAACGTCAGTAGAAGTATAATTCCCCAAACGACGTATTCGTTGGTTTCACATTACTTTTCAACTCGCTGTGCGTTCCCCGGTCGTTCAAATTCAAAAGCTGCCATTTCCTGAATACAGTCAATATGAACATTGGTCTTTTCTATTTTGGTACAAATTTAAAGTCGAATCCTATTTTTGTACAACATTCTACCTTTTTATTGAACTGAAAATGCCCCTATAATGAATTTAAATGTTACATCATAATGTGAAGATTATATTTAGAATTGGCGGGTTCATTGGCCCATAAACTGTATTGCCAGTGGAAATATTGGGCAATGACAATGTTTTCCAACATCTCAAAATGGTTCTTATGTGCAGACTTAAGTTTTACCTAAATTGAAGTAGAATACTTTGGCATATGTATGATACACTGGTCTGTGAACTGTTTGGCACAGAACATGTTTACATATTTATAGGAATTTGGAGCTCTACTTTCTGTGCCAATGCCCAGAGATTGCTCTGACACAGAAATCTTGCGGATCTTACACAATATGTGTTGTAAATAATCACAATAATTTTGCTGTTTGGTCGATGTGACAATAAATCCAATTCTCATAATTTGTAAATTAAAACCCCTTATAATATGCATGAGACTTTCTTGAAGACATTAAGTGTCATGATGACTCCAATATTCAGGAGCCTAGAGCAGTCACTGTATGCGTTGCAGGTTACAACTGGTCACAAGAAAAAAGGTTTTATTTGTGTACAGGTAAAATTTCTAATGATATATGTAAGAAGAGTAGAGTATAGAAATCATTTTCCCAGACACAGCCTGTCATCTCTCCTATTCACCCCATTCTTTGGGTAATGATTAGAATCTTTTCATTAATCATACTGTGTTTTAGAAATTACAACTTACTATTTACTGCTTAGTTGATCAGGAAAGTTGGACAGTAAGACGGATGAACATATAGTCACACCTTTTTACTAAAATCTAATGGGAGAAAGAATAAATATTATCAACAGCAACCTAAAAGCCATTGGCTTGCCAGATGCCCATATTGTTTATTCCACTGGTTCCTGAAAAATGTTTCTAGACTAGGGCATACAGACAAGTATTATGATTGTCTTTAGGATCAGCTGGAATGCTCTCTGATCATTTGGAGTGACCCAACTCATTGAGTGACACTTAGCATCATTTCCTATTTCACAATACAATCTTAGTGCTAAGACAGTCAACACTGCCATGTATTAACATTACTTATGAAAATCATAGGGCTAAGACTGCTTTGTGGAATACAACATGAGAAAGCTGGACTTTTGTGTACTAAACCTATAAACAGCATTCTCTCACCTACTAAAAAATTACTACTTCACCAATGTTCACTGATGTTTATTTCAGCTGACGCTGTTGTTTTCGGCAATATACATCCGTTATTATATGAGCAAATATGACAGTGAGCTGTCGACAACCCTGGCCACCATCTTTGCTCTGACTATCACCCTGCTGACGTCGGCCATTGTACCCGTTGACATCTTCCTTGTATCCTACATGAAAACAACTGATGGATCATTCAAGGTGACGTTATTATCATTATACTTGTATGATATTATGATGATGCTATTAAAGGCTTGTGTGTTTGTCCCAGGGGAACACAGGTGCCCCAGTATGTATCCCTTTTGAGTGCTAGAAGGTTATGATAGTGGGTTTGAATCCCATTGTCCCTCATGTTTCTAGGTTTGTCAGCACCAAGGTGGTAAATGTTATAGAAATGCATCACTTTCACCTGCCTTCTCCGTCAGTCTGTGGGGTGGGGTGGCCTACTGGTTGAAGCATTTACTTATCAAGCCAAAGACCCGGGTTTGTATCCCCACATGGGCACAATGTGTGAAGCCCATTTCTGGTGTCCCCTGCCGTGATGTTGCTGGAATATTGCTAAAAGCTGTGTAAAACCATACTCACTCACTCACTCTCCGTCAGTGAGTTGGGTTTTATTTTAGCAAATTCCCAGCGATATTTAAGTGTGGAACACCAGAAATCAGCTTCACAAAGAATCACATGTTGTACCCATGCAGGGAAATCATACCCAGGCCTTTGGCATGTTGAGGTAACTTTTAACCACTAGGTTATCCCATAGCCCCTGTATCTAATGAAAGTATTTGATTAGAAAAGTGGTGGAAATATTTGATTAAAAAATACACATGGTGTTGGGAAGGTTAGAAATTGAAACATCATTTCTGTTTTAATGCATTGTACATGTTGGAATGAATCGGGTAAAATTGTTAACATATTAAGCTGAGTATATTACGTTTTTTATAAATGTCGTGACTGTTGACTGAGAATAGTTCCAAATGATTTTCAGTTTATTTATCACAGAATACAAGTCATGTAATTTTATAATATTGAAGTTTTTTAGCACTTTTTCTATTTTATGTTTCATTATCATCATGTTTATCAATATTATTCTTGCAGGTAAAATATTATCTGAATTGTTTTCAATTTGTATTATTATTCTCAAAAAGTCTGATTAAATGAACAAGATGTATGACAAATTTATCATCAATCTCAATTACATGTTTTTGTAGAATTATGAGTTGAACAATGATGGGTTTTTTTTTTTTTTATATTAAAGGATTGGGCTAATGACTCTGCCTCCCGAGCTTCAATTGAGCATTCAGTCCTTTATGGCTATTACAGTAAGTGATGTGACCCGTGAAGATCTGGGTTAGAATTGGCCTTCACCATTCATTCTTGTCATAAGAAGCTACTAACAGGAGTGGGTGGTCAAGCTTGCTGACTTGGTTGACAGATGTCATCACATCCCAATAACACAAGTGGATGCTCATGCTGTTGACCACTGGATTGTCTGGTCCAGACTTCATTAATTACAGACTGCTGCCATATAGCTGGAATATTGCTTAGTGCTGCATTAAACAACCAACCAACCAATCTAATTAGATCTAGGATCAGCAGCAGCCAGATTGTCTAAGGCACGTCATTTACTGTGCATCAAAGTTTCGAAATGCTCAGAACAAACGAGCAAAGCATTAAGAGTCTCTGAGCAAAGCCACACATATTCTTGGCTCACTGCTTCCCCAAAATCGCTCAAAGAGAGAAAGGTGTGCAGCCTGCTGTTTATACTTGATCTAATGACCCAAATCTTGTTCATTTCCAGCGCTGTATGCTCTCGTGACGTTCTGTCTGTTCATCTTGCTACCCTTCTTCTATTTCTTCTATGAGGAGAAAGATGAGGCTACCCCTACATCATGCAAGAGTGTAAGTCTTTCCTGCAGACTTGCAGTCAGGCCAAATAAAAAAAATGTTGTGGTTCGATTACACCTCTTTAAAATTTAGGGTAGGTAGGTAGGAATGGTTTTTTTTACATATTATTTTTAGAAGGAAAGTACAAACTAATAACACATGTATCAATGTGTAATTGTTTATTCGATCAAGCTTGCGGCCATCATATCGACTGTCTCTATCAGAATGACCGATATCTGTCTGCGCCGGGGAAAAACAATGGTACCTGAAAGCTTATTTTATTCATTCTGCTTAGAAAAGTAGGGTCGGCACCAGAATTCAAGTGTCGGTTGGATAGTTGGAACCACAACATTTTGTTAGGCCTCACTGTGCATGTTTACACGTCTCCATACAGGTTTTCCCAAGCAGCGATTCATCATGACTACCAAACAATTAATGGATTTATCTTGACCTTATTTATCTAAAAGCACTCATTTGGTGCCAAGTTTGAGCTCAAAATCTCCATAAAGGTATAAAATTATGGATGTCAACTTCTGTATTTTGAGGAACACAATATTTTGTGTATAGTCTTGCGCCTGTATCAGGGTAATGAAAAACCAGGAAACAGATAGCTATAGAAGTACATGTGAAGCAACACCAGTGAATCCGTGATAAGATAATAAAGAAAGCCAGTATCTTATCGTATGTTATCACTTATTACGGGTTAAATTAGGTCCCCAGCTTTGTATTGTCATCATAAGAGGCACTAACTTATCAGGGGATCAGGCTCTGGGACTGTGTGGCATGTTTTTACAGCTGTAGAAATTGCTCATGATATCAATCACTAGATTATCCTAATACTTATCCACACAGGATTCTGTACTGACTGGCCTGATATAGCTGTACTACTGCTTTGTGTGGTGTTTATTAAGGCTGTAACGATTCACTCGCATATTCGGTGAATCGAACCGTAGCCCTTCATGAATTCAATTCGTTATTTGTGGTCACCAGAACCGAATATTCATGAATATTTAAAAATTTTAAGGGAGTGTGTTTTACTTGAACCCTTATGCCCTTTTTCAAAATGAGATATGCAAGAATGCATTATGTACTAGCCTTGTAGTAGTCATGTTAGTTTGCCAAGGCCGCACATGGTACTGTCAACTTAACTATTACATACCAAATTTGAGTGTCATGAGATGACTGGTTATTGCTGTGACAAATTAACACTGTCAACATAGGCATTCAATATTGTGCATCAGTCATTGTATTCGTGAATAATTCTTCGTATTTGTTACCCAATATTCGTGATACATATCATATTCGCAACATAGTGTATTCGTTACAGCCCTAGTGTTTTTCAGTATTAAAAGTATGACACTGTGGACTCTGTGTCGAGTAAATCAATGTGTGTCAAAGGTGTCCTATATGCAGAATTCCAGTATGAGGAAGAACCCTGTTTAATCATTCGATCCATTTGTAATCGATGATCCTTAATCAATGGTATTGGCTTTCCCCCTCAAATAACTCTCCTCTTCTCTGCTCCCACATATAGATCTCGCCCGTGAAGATCCGCAGGTTTAGAATTGATCTTCAGTAACCCATGCTTGTCGTAAGAAGCGACTAACGGGATCAGGTGGTCAAGCTCGCTGACTTGATTGACACATGTCATCGTATTCCAGTTGTGTAGATTAATGCCCAAGCTGTTGGATCACTGGATTGTATGGCCCAGACTCGATTATTTACAGACTGTCACGGTATAGCTGTAATAGTGCTGAGTGTGGCATAAAACTAAACTCACTCATCCCCACCTAGATCTACTTCACATGTTTGGTTTATGATGATGAAATATGTGTCCAAACATGTCTATGATGGAAATTCATATGTAAATGTACAATGATGTTCAGCGATTCATTAGTAAATGAACTTATATATTCAGAGATGCTGTACAGCTCTGAAGTACCTGATTGTGTTTATCCTGGTCGTCGCTACTCTCATGTTGATTGGGTTGGTATATGTTTCTGTTATATTATTTAGGGGTTGGAATTGAAAGTACCAACTAGCAACTGATGTTCCCTAGTTTGTAAACTTGAGCATGAATCATTTAGGGACAGTTCATAATCTATGGCTAGGTTTGTGTGATGATGATTTTTATGGAGGGCATGTACAATGTGAACCACCACCCCAGCCTCACCACCCCAAACCCAACCCCCTAAAATTTAAGTTCAAAGTAAGTGGGACACACAAACACCCTATGTCATGTACAAAATCTATTACCCCCTGCTATGTTTTAAGCATAATTTTTATAATAATTCTCTCTCTCTCTCTCTCTCTCTCTCTCTCTCACACACACACACACACACACACACACACACACACACACACTCACACACACACACACACACACACTCCCTCCCACATCTCTTTAGTACATGACCCACCCTCCCTCCCCCCTTAGAACAAAATGGGTGACTCCCCCTCCCCTCTCTCTCTCTCTCTCTCTCCTCTCTCTCTCCCTCTCCCTCTCCCCTCCCTTATGGTCCCTTATAAGCAAGTACTGATTTTCTATGGATACTCTGGACATTTTCTTTGTTTTTGATTAGTGCTTTGATTAATATAACTATTCTCCTGCTATGTTTCAGTGCTTTTGTTCCCACCAAGGGCACTCCCAACGCTAATTCTACTGAGTGGAAGCAGATAGAAGCCCTTTTCAAGGACCTGGCTAGCAATGGTGAGATCACTTGTCTGTTGGGTAGTGTTGGGAATTGGTTGAAATCTCACAATTGATAATTGGTTCATTACCAACGAGTAATCATATAAACAATTGCTTAGTGTCATTTTTCATATTTTCCTGTTCAGGTTGTTATTGATGATAAGTATAATGTGGTTCTCTGTTGTTGTTTGTTTTATTAAGAAACTGTAATGTAAAATGGAGTCTTCAAGAAATGTTTAGTCATGACTTTTCAATAAGTGAAGTGAATTATCTAAGAATTAAAATCGTTTTCAGGCCCTGACAACTTCTGTTCCATCATCAAGTGTTTCAAATACTAAAACATTAGTTCAAAAATCGTTCGTGTTTGATTATGAGAAAATGTGATCAATTGATTGGTCGTTTGGTCACTGTGACCTGTCTTTGATTGGTTCATCAGAACACCACTACTGTTGTGTAGCATTGACCTCTACCTCAGAAAGTACTGGAATCTGTACTTTATTAAGAAAGTGTAATCCCAAATATAACATGTTGCATTTGACCACTTTCTAACAGGCATTTTGTATTCATATGGTCTTTATGAATATTACTGTTTTTTGCAAATTATTAAAATAAATTAGAATTAGCAAAATACTTTTGGTCACTTATGTAAAATCCAAAATAATCCCAGAAATATATGTGCTGTGTGAAACCAAGCATACTGTGTAGAGATCATTTGTGTGTGATTTTGCCTGTTTGATTTCTTGGCTTTGATTTTTGTGATATTGCTGTAGCTTTCACATTGTCGACCTTACTTCATCACTCACTCTGGATCAATTGTGTGTTCTAACAGGGTTGGAAGACTCTCTGTCCTTTATCATCAGTGTGTTGAGCCTGCTGGGAATGATGGCCTTCATCATGTATACGGTACGTGGAAAGAAATTACAAAACTGCAGACTTGCCTATCCTTACTATTTGAGCGTAAGGCTTACTATTTTTGGTGCATAATTACGATCTTACGATCATACTGAAATTCCTTACAACTTCTACAAGTAAGTGGTAGAATACTAGATATAGGCATGCCCATGCTATTTACAGAGTCATTTATGGTACATAAAGTACTGAAAACAGAAAGTCGCATCAAAACATTATAAATAAATAATCTTTGCATCTTACAGTGCTTGTAAAGTTTATTTCAAAGTGAAAGACTTTATAAACGTCAATTAGACTGGCACCACATTTGACTAATTGACTGTTAAAGGCTATATTAAGATTTTAACCAGCTATGTTTTTCCTCTTTATTTCTTGACAGTAACATGCCCTACTATCAAATACACCTGCCTTACTTTTATTTTTTAGTTGATCTTACTATTTTCTTTAAAAGAGGTAGGCAAGTCTGAAACAGCAAAGTCAGAGACGTGAGTAGGTATCAGTCTACCGTGTTCCGTGTTAGAGCGTTCGCTCATCATGCCGAAGACCAGGGTTCAATTCGACACATGGGTACAATGTGTGAAGCCAATTTCTGGTGTCCCCTGTCATGATATAGCTGGAATGTTGCTAAAAGCGGAGTAAATCCAAACTCACTCACTCACTCACTCACGGGTCATGCATGTCATCATACCCCAATTTCTTAGATTGATGCTCATGGCGTCAATCACTGGATTGTCTGATCCAGACCCGATTATTTGCAGACTGCCGTCATATAGCTGGAATATTATTGAGTGTTATGTTAAACAATAACACCCTGGAGGTCTGTCAGTGCACTCAAATTCAACTGTATTTCTTCCAAATTTCAGGCTTATGGGATGTCTGCCCTACCTATTGACCTCATCAAGGGCCGCTTGAGTGCCAAGAAGGAAAAAATGCAAGTACATGGTCAGAGAGAAGAAAGGGTGGAGAGAGCAGAGAGACGACAGGCCATCAAGGAAAAGGTAATCACCGCAGCATAGCTGTATTCCTGCTGGTCAGGGTAATCACAGCAGCATAGCTGTATTCCTGCTGGTCAGGGTAATCACAGCAGCATGGCTGTATTCCTACTGGCCAGGGTAATCACAGCAGCATGGCTGTATTCCTGCTGGTCAGGGTAATCACAGCAGCATGGCTGTATTCCTACTGGCCAGGGTAATCACAGCAGCATGGCTGTATTCCTACTGGTCAGGGTAATCACAGCAGCATGGCTGTATTCCTACTGTCTAGGGTAATCACAGCAGCATGGCTGTATTCCTACTGGCTAGGGTAATCACAGCAGCATGGCTGTATTCCTGCTGGTCTAGGGTAATCACAGCAGCATGGCTGTATTCCTACTGGCTAGGGTAATCACAGCAGCATGGCTGTATTCCTACTGGCTAGGGTAATCACAGCAGCATGGCTGTATTCCTACTGGCTAGGGTAATCACAGCAGCATGGCTGTATTCCTACTGGCTAGGGTAATCACAGCAGCATGGCTGTATTCCTACTGTCTAGGGTAATCACAGCAGCATGGCTGTATTCCTGCTGGTCAGGGTAATCACAGCAGCATGGCTGTATTCCTACTGTCTAGGGTAATCACAGCAGCATGGCTGTATTCCTACTGGCCAGGGTAATCACAGCAGCATGGCTGTATTCCTACTGTCTAGGGGTAATCACAGCAGCATGGCTGTATTCCTGCTGGCTATGGGGTAATCACAGCAGCATGGCTGTATTCCTACTGGCCAAGGTAATCAGCAGCATGGCATGGCTAGGGTAATCACAGCAGCATGGCTGTATTCCTACTGTCTAGGGTAATCACAGCAGCATGGCTGTATTCCTACTGGTCTAGGGTAATCACAGCAGCATGGCTGCTGGCTGGCTGTATTCCAGCAGCTGGTATTCCTACTGGTCTAGGGTAATCACAGCAGCATGGCTGTATTCCTACTGTCTAGGGTAATCACAGCAGCATGGCTGTATTCCTACTGGCTAGGGTAATCACAGCAGCATGGCTGTATTCCTACTGGCTAGGGTAATCACAGCAGCATGGCTGTATTCCTACTGTAGGGTTCCTACTGGCCAGGGTAATCACAGCAGCAAGATAAAAATGGCATGACTGTATTCTGGACACTGAAATCCATAAGGGTAATCAGTGTTGACATTTGAATTCATTTTTTACGAGAATAGAAACATTAGTACTGAAACGTGCAGCCTGTACATGTGGATTAGTTTTAATAATTCATACAGCCAAGCCTTTTCATTATCCCCAAACAGTATAATGTCTTAGTGGTAATTATTTGCATCCATTTTCAATAAAGGATGCAATATTCTGTTTCCTGTAAATTATTGCATGTAGTTGTTTCCCAGATTCTCAATTATCCAAGAGAATTGTGGGCAATAATAGGTCCCCAGGGATCTGTAATCGGCATAAGAGACCATCAAATATATCTTGAGGTCACACTCAGTGATTTGGCTGATAAGATGCTGGAGATTGCTTGCTCACCACATCAATCACTGGCTTGTCTTGTCCAGATGAAACTATTTAGGATCGCTGAAATATTTCCGAATGCCGCATTAACAAATAGCATACTGGATTTTAAAGTACCATTTGCCAGATTTCCAAGTACTATTTCAAAGGGATATAGTGCAGAAATATTTCATGGATGAAATTTTATTCCAGTATTCAAGTCGCAAAAGATTGGGCAATCGTGACCAACAACACACTGATGAGCAGGATCGTTTGATGGAAAGACAGCTGCGCCATCTGGAGGCCAATGACAGAAGCTGCATACGGAAATGTCTGCTGGTGCTACGTCCGTTTGAGATGCTGTTTGGCTTTTTGTTTCTTCTCGTGGCCTTGCTCATCTTCATCTCACTGTTGCTCACCAAGTAGGTTCAACTCATAATGGACTCAAGTTGTACTCATCATAAATATGATTTACTTGTCATACCCGTGACGGGTTGCTTTGATATAAGATATATGCTTTGTTATACAGATATCTGACAGACCACTTTACAAAGCCAGTTAACAGAAAGACTCTCATACTTAATGGTTGCCTTTAAACTAAGAACAGACCTTAGTGGATCAATCCCCTGTCTTATCTTACCGACCTGTGAAGATCGGGGTTAGAATTGATCTTCAGTAACCCATGCTTGTCGTAAGAGGCAACTAACAGGATCAGGTGGTCAGACTCACTGACTTGGTTGACACATGTCATTCATTCGTATCCCAATTGCGTAAATCGATGCTCATGCTGTTGATCACTAAATTGTCTGGTCTAGGCTCGATTATTTACAGACCGCCGCCATATGGCTGGAATATTGCTGAGTGCGGCGTGAAACTAAACTCACTTGCTCTTATGCCAATAGAAAGATAGGTAATACAGGGATAAAACAAGGACTGTTTGGTGTCTAAGTGGGGAATCCATGTTAAATTCAGAAGACAACTGAAATAATAATAAGTCAAGCCAAATGCAAGCAATAAACCCATACCTCCAGTTCAACGCACACTAGTGCAAAATCTTGAACGCATCATTTAACCCAATCAGATCACCTCACCTGTTATTTGTTGACTGAAACTTGTATTATGGAAGACATTCAGCTCCCTTGCTGGACAATTGATCGAATGATCAGTCAATCAGTGAATCCTCAGGAATGATTAATGAGACTAATCAATATTCAGAAAAAATGAAACATCAAATTAAACTTTAGAAGTATATTTCTTATTGTTATGTTTGTCACAGACATTGTGAATATTCTGATTGTTGTTGTTAAGATAAACTTGACTATGTCAGGGCTCCAGATAACTTTTAAATGCGGTGTACTTACACATCTGATTGCAAGTGGAGGTGTACTGAGAATTTTGAAGGAGTCCTGACATGTTTTTGTGTGTTCGAGTTGGTGATCATGGTTTGTCGTTACGATTCATCGATCACTATGGTCCGATATAAATAAGATCAGTGTAGTTTTAGGCAAACGAAACATAGTGACGCATATCGTTGCATGGCAGTACAAGTGATTCCTACTGTCGGGGTTTCCTCATGTGTCAAATCATGTTTCGCAAAAGAAACTTGACAAGTATTTATCGAAATAGATTTCCATTTGCATGATGCACGGAAACTAAATGTTAGACGCATACAATTGTATTTGTGTGCGTACATTATCGCTTGAAATCTTATATTATGTCGTACTTAATTGATTTTGAGGCATTACATTCGCCATGCATCGCGGCCTTATCTGTAGCCCTGACTGTAAGCTGACATGTTTTATAGTTATTCATGCAAGTAACGATTGTTCTTAAGCCTCTAAAAACCCACAAGATGAAGATACACAACACAGAGAGGTGAACTAGGAAATAACCTTGATCATCTTGATCGTAGTATTAATCGGTGCCTGTTTCATTTTCACAGTGTTTTGATTGTGTCTCGTTATAAGTTCTGTCGTGGGGTTTCATCAATTATTGATTGATTACTGAGCTACAAGTATTGTGAGTGATAACCAGTGAGTTTAGTTTTACGACACTTTCAGCAATATTCCAGCAATATCACAGTGGAGGACACCAGGAATGGTTTTCACACATTGTACCCATGTGGGGAATCGAATCCGTGTTCTTGGCATGATGAGCGAATGCTTAACCACTAGGCTACCCCAGAGTGATAACCAGCACCAACTCCCTTCACTATTCTTAGTAAACAGCAATGTTTTAGTGCTATTTTTAAGGGGTAAATAGGTATTACAGCACTGAATGGTGTTCTTTTCAGTATTGACAAAGCCATGCACAGTAAAGGATACAAGATTGGCTACGCCCTGGCTCAGAGGAAGCTGCCCAACCCTGTAGACATTGCACTGGTCTTCTGTCAGATGGTACGGTACATCACACTCAGACATTGATTGTCAGTTACCATATGAAGTGTTACTTCCTTGTACGTTGACGTCACTGACACTATCTACTGTCGTTCTGCAGGTGTTCCCTCTGGACTACATCCTCATGTCGGGCATCATCGTGTATTTCGTCTTCTGCTCCATGTCGGGCATCCGCAACATCGGCATCTGGTTCCTGTGGATCAGGGTCAGCGTCTCCTCCTTTATGTTCATGTGTTCATTCAGACACAACATTCATCCAGACATGACATGCATTCAGACACAACATTCATTCAGACACAACATTCATTCAGAATGTTATTTAGAAACTCATTCGCAAATTTCACATCCAATGTAAAACGATGCAACTTGCTACTTTAAAGTGATGACTAATAATATTAGGAGCATAAACTTCCCAGAATCTTCAAGAAATATTCAGTCATGACTTTTCAGTAAGTGAAGAGAGTTTTCTAAGAATTAAACATGTTTTCAGACCCAGACAACTTCTAAGATATGTTCCATCATCAAGTGTTTCAAACACTAAAACAGTAGTTCTAAAATTGTTTGTGTTCGATTATGAGAAAAGGTGATTAATGGTCGTTTGGTCACTGTGCGACCAATATTCGATTATTTCATTTAATAGGAACACCACTACATTCAGACACAACATTCAGACACAACATTGTGTCATTAAATTACAGTAGTTCCTTCAAAACTAAACTTACAGAAAAATTTAAATAGAAAATATCTTCCAATGAAATGTGAAAGGATCCACTTTTCATTATAGTAAATGTGTCTGTGTCTCAGAAACTATAGAAAGCAAAAGTCATAGTAATATTTTGAGTAAGATATTAACATTACTCATTTACCTTATGTGTCTTTGTATATTCAGCAAAAGGATCATTAATGCAAGAAATTATGTTGATTTCTCCCTGTTTCGAATTCCTATAATGTAGACAATGGAGTATGTTTTGGTGTATCAGATGTACAAGATCCGTCCCCGTCGTACACGGCCCCAGGGCCTGCTGATGTTGTGCATGATACTGATGTTCATCGTGTTGGCCATCAACATCATTGTGTATGAGCTGACACCACAGTACTCCACCTTTGGCAGTCAGAAATATGTGAGTCAATTTTTGTTTTCCTTCACACTATGACTTCTCTTCAAATTGAATTGGTCCCTTGTAACACATGCTTGTATTTCAGGGGGACTTTCTCCTGTCATTAGTTATCCTCAGTTACATTCTCAGATGGTACACGATACACACTTGCATGTATCAGTTTATGTTTAATCCTGTATCAATTCATATCTTAATCACCCATGAAAATTTGATCTTCAGCAACCCTTGCTTGTCGTAAGAGGCGACTAACAGGGTCGGGTGGTCAGGTTCACTGACTTGGTTGACACATGTCATCATATCCCAACTGCGTAGACCGATGCTCGTGCTGTTGATCACTGGATTGTCTGGTCCAGACTCGATTATTTACAGACCGCCACCATATAGCTGGAATATTGCTGAGTTGCGGCGTAAAACTAAACTCACTCACTCATATATTAATCTCGTAGCGTTTAATACTGGATCCCTTTCAATCATGGGGTTCAGGGCTTGAGTGGCGGGTCTAAGAGGCGTCATTTCACACTGATGCTTGAAAAGAAACATTAATACCATTTCTGTTTCCAGGGCAACATGACTGGAGGATCAAACACAACATCTACTCCATTACATCAGTGTACCATGGAGGTGGCAGGTGAGTGTAATGGCGGAAGTCTGGAATGACTTATACCACAGTATTTCAGCAGAATGTGGAATGAAAACCTGACATGAGGCAGGTCATACAGGTTTACCTCTTCAGAGAAAGGGCGGTGGGGTAGCCTAGTGCTTAAAGCGTTTGCTCTTCATGCCGAAGACCAGGGTTCAGTTCCCCACATGGGTACAATGTGTGAAGCCCATTTCTGGTGTCCCCCGCTGTAATATTGCTGGAATATTGCTTAAGCGGCACTCACTCACTCACTCACTCACTCACTCACTCACTCACTCACTCACTCACTCACTCACTCACTCACTCACTCACTCACTCACTCTTCACTCACTCACTCACTCACTCAATTAAAAAACCCATTATTAGTCTATATCTAAGCAGGGTTTTACCCAACATGCAAATGTGCATCCAGTACAAACATAAAAAAATCACTGCAATATTATTTCACTGTACCCTCAACACATCTATGACTTTGCTAAGTGTTTGATTGTTTTTCTCAGAGCAATTTCTTGCATCATTTCACCCATCAGCCCACATGATAAAAATTCATTCCAGGCTCTAAAGAAATGATCAAAACATACAGGTCTCTACACCGTTACTTCACAGGGCCCACGTAAGGCCTGCAAGGACACTTAAAACCAATAATTAGGGGCCCCTGTTTTGAGTCGAGGTAAAACACTGATCTAATACTGACAGGATGTAAGCTGTTATTTTGGACCCATACTCTTGACATTGACATTTAAATGGCCCTCTGATTCAGCTTACACATAGGTTGTTTAAACATTAGCAGTCTGGCATGGACGTGACGATGGCTGAATAGAATCCTGTATGGAAACTGTATGGAAACTGCGTGGTAGATGTGTAGTGTGCGCGAACAACAGTTTAACAATTGTTCAGGTTCCACCGACACTTCAGTGCATCTCATCTGGGGCTTCAATGGGTACTTGAGTACTTGAGCATGAGTCGGGTTTAGCTGGACTTGAGTCCAGACCTGTCACCCCCTAAACTGGTCAAGAAAATAGACTCGTTGAAGCCTTAGTCTCCCCACCATACTTTGTAAGCATCCTACCTCACATAGTGCATTTTCCAGATTCCAGCATTCCATCTTTAAAAACACTTCCCCATTGATGTCATAAACAGCAACATTTTGACCATGGAAACATTTAATAGTCTCTTATGGCAAGGATAGTAATCCAGATAATGTGTGTGTTCACTTGCAATATAGAGTGTCTAACGTGACTGAGTGGTATTTCAGGGTTTGCACAGCTTGATATTTGGACTTTTTTACCTTAAAAGGCCCTAAATTCATTTTAGCCTTGAAAAGGCCCTAACTGACAGTGATTTGCCCTTAAAAGGCCCTATATTTATTAAAGCATGTCAAGTTACGATTTTACAAGAAACTAATACATAATAAAAATACCTTGCAGTGATAGTGATATTAATGTCAATCACAAAGCCTAACAGGAATGGGTGGTCAGGCTCGCTGACTTGGTTGACACATGTCATCAGTTCCCAATTGCGCAGATCGATGCTCATGCTGTTGATCACTGGATTGTCTGGTCCAGACTCGCTTATTTACAGACCGCCGACATATAGCTGGAAAATTGCTGAGTTTGGCATAAAACTAAACTCACTCACTCAATCACAATGCAAACATTTTCCCAGTGCAGTGATATAGCTAACAGTTATTTCCCTCTGATGGTCGGTAGACGCTCATCAAGCCAAAGTCCGGGTTTGATTCCCTACATGGGTATGCTTGTGATGCCCATTTCTGGTGTCCCCTGCTATGATGTTGCTGGTTGCTTTGAGCGTGAAACCATACTACGTATGTGTTATATGTGTTTCTATTCTTGGGGTAAAAGTGTTGACAGAGGTTGAAAATGTCTCAAAAGGTTTCAAATGTGAACAGACTATAATGCTGAACCTTGGTTAAAATGACTGCATGTTGTTTTTCAGAGGATTCCCTTCGAGGATGGCTCTCTCTGATACGGTTCTTCTCAAGATGTGGTTCTTAAGAAGCTGACCTACTACTGGGGCACTTGGGTCTTTCTTGGGGTCAGTATACAGAGGTTTCAAACCAGAGGTTTCAAATGTGTACAGACTTTAATTTATCATTCAAAACGATCACATAAGTTGGTCCCTTCCTCTCTCTCTTATACTTTCTCTCTATGTCTTCCTAAGAAGATCTGACCGCCTCCCAAGCGTTAGCGGAGAGCGGAACGGGTTCGATAGATCAAACCAAAAGCGTTGTATGGATCACTGGTCCTTGCTCGCGTGGTCCAGATTATTGGGTACAAACCGCCACCAGGACGGAGTCAGTAATATGTGTCTCTGTGTGGCATATTCATGCTTCACTGTGGCATGATGTATCTCAGTATCTAAAATGCATACTATAAAATCAGCTTAAGTCTGGGCTAGTACAAGCAGCCAATTTTGAAATATACCAATCACGCAGTGTAACGTAACGTATGATGGCACAAATAATATTCTCAAGCACTGACGTTAAACCCAATTTCACCTCACCTCACCAAACACATCGAATGAGATTCAGACCCAGACTTTGTTTTGTTTGATTATCTCATGCCTGAATACACAGAAAAATATATGTTGATTTGTGTGGTCATCTTGCAAAATATTACAATATCTGCTTCGTCTTTTTCTAGATATATGTCCTTGGATTCATAATTGCTGTGATAAAGAAGAGAAAGTCATCAATCGATGGGGAAATTGACGAGGATGACTTTGATGAAAGTGATGATGAAGACCTGCTTCGGGGCTAGACACAATGTGTTTTAGAATACGATTTGGTTCAACTGATGTATGTATTAAGGTTCCATCTTCAATGTACAGTATGCACGAAAAAGAAAGATGCACAGTTTGGGATCTATATCACTGCTTATGTTTTGATTCAAATCAGTTTGTGTCTTTCATTAGTTGAACGAAGAATTTTAAGAAATATATTTGGTAATGTTTCTAAAAAATATATTCGAGCACAAAAACAAATTAGGATTGTAGTGTGTATATATGTGACGTGTATTTATTTATATTTGCTCTAACTTTTGTTTATGTCCTCATTGATATGATTCAATGTACTTTGTAATGACTAATGACTAAAGATAGTTACACTCTTTCTATCGCACTCATGACTGAGAGATTCTTAATATCATTAGACCTTCTCTTTGGCTAAGATGTTTCAGTTTAAGAGACTCATCAGTGTGCGGCTCAAACATTGCCAAACTCTTATAGAATTTTAACTGTCATATTTAAGTTTATAAAATTACTGTCATGGGTGCATAGGGTTGTTTCTGTTTTGTATGAGTACAACATATTCCTCCGTCGTGTTCATTCCTGTCTTAATGTGGGTTGGTTGGTTAACCGAGTGGTTAAAGCATTGGCTCGTCACACCGAAGACCCGGGTTCGATTCCCCACATGGGTACAATGTGTGAGCCCCATTTCTGGTGTCCCCCGCCATGATATTGCTGGAATATTGCTGAAAGCGGCGTAAACTAAACTAAACTCACTCACTCACTCACTCACTCACTCTCTTAATGTTGGTCTTTAGAAGGTCCAAAGAACCCAATAGGATCGGGTGGTTTGGCTTGGTTATTTGGTTGTATCCAGTGACTTGGTCATTGTATCCCAATTGTATAGATAGATGCTCATCATGTCAATCACTTGATTATCTGGTCCATACTCAATTATTGTAAATATTGTGGTCATAACTGGAAATATTGCTGAGTGCGGCAAAAAAACAAACTCTCTTGATAAAAGGTTTACAATGTAAATGTGTAAATTTATTGGTCAATGTACATAAATGTTTATTGTGATGTTGTACATACTGTGTAATACATACAGACCCCAGTATCTCAAATATCCTAATATTTGCAACCTATTCTCTAGCCCCTACCACCACACCATATAATACATATGTGAATTTAACGGCTTATCTCAATTTCAGATCGAAATACATAACTTTATCGCAAACCTTGAACTGTAGAATTTTGTACCTATATAAGTATGTAATAGCATGGCTTGAACATGGTTTTTAAGACCATGTGCATGAAAAAAGGATGTCATATAGACTTGCTTTTACAATACGCTTTCCTTGGGATATCTATAAAGTACATGTACACAGTTTATTTCTTTGAAACAGTGTGTCACTGTTGTGGAAACTGACACATGTCATTTTCATGAACTATACTCATAGTGATTGAAATCAACTTTATTAACCCTCCTGATACTATTGTCCAAGGCCACAAACTTACCCTGAAGCGAGTGTGCCAAACATTCTGGCTAAATCTTGGGCATATATGTATTCAGATCTTGAATATGATTTTTTTGACCCCACATATATGATTACTAATATATCTGGCATGTGTCAAATACATATACAGCTCCAATGAGAAGGGGTGGCGATGTTGCTGGAATATTGCCAAAAGCAGCAATACTCACCATACTCACTCACTATAACCATACTCACTCACTATAACCATACTCACTCACTCACTCCAATGAGAATATTTCCAATGAACCATATATCATGAATCATGTTTGGGCGGTGGGGTAGCCTAGTGGTTAAATCGTTCCCTCGTCACACCGAAGACACAGGTTCGATTCTCCACATGGGTACAATGTGTGAAGCCCATTTCTGGGGTCCCCCGCTGTGATATTGGTGGAATATTGCTAAAAGTGGCGTAAAACTAAACTCACTCATGAATCATGTTTGTTGTATAGTCAAGTTGACTTAAACCTTATTAGCTCTACTCCTTGAAGAGCTGTTTGAACATCAAATGAAAGGTTAAAGAATATGCCCTTTGGTTTGTCTATGCTTATATATCTAAGAATTTTCAGTTTATTTCCCTTTTTGTCAATTGAATTATTTTGAATACACAAAATAAACAAAAAACATGTCTTGATTTGAGAATGCTTTTTCCAAATATCTTCACAGAGGAAAAAAGGTGTATAATCAAAACTAATTTTTAAAAATATTTTGTTATACTTTGTAAAATTGTTGATGTTCTTGTTGGTATGAAACAAATATGTTACCCTTGCCTTTAAAGAAATAGGAAGTGATTTCCCTTAAGAAGGTGTAAATACAGCACCTTTGTTACATGTGTAATATTCAGCAAAGAATGAGGGGCCATACTTATTCATTTTGTGGTGCATTTTTCGTGTTTATTTATGATTTGAAATAAACAGATGAACATGAATAATATCCATTCCCTTTTTATCCCACCGGCATGTAATGCGGTGGGATATAGTCGTCGCCTCGTCCGTCTGTCCGTCCGTCCGTCCGTCCGTCCGTCCGTAATCATTTTGTTTCCGGAGCATAACTCAAAGACCGTTCGATATTTTTCATCCAAAATTGGTAGATATGTCAAACATAACCTAAAGTGGTGCCTTTTGCTATTTACAGATTATTGTCATTTTTATTTTCTCGGTTTCCATGGAAACGTTTTGGACTTAGTCTTAAAGAAGGGTGGGCTTCGTTTCCGGAGCATAACTCAAGAACCGTTCAATATTTTTCAACAAAACTTGGTAGATATATCAAACAGATCCTTAAGTGGTGCCTTTTGCTATTTACAGATGTTTGGCATTTTTATTTTTCCCGGTTTCCATGGAAACGATTCAGACTTAGTCCCAAAAGTGAGGGGTGGGCTTCGTTTCCGGAGCATAACTCAAGAACCGTTCAATATTTTTCAACAAAACTTAGTAGATATATCAAACAGATCCTAAAGTGGTGCCTTTTGCTATTTGCAGATTTTTGGCATTTTTATTTTTCCTGGTTTCCATGGAAACATTTTGGACTTAGTCTCAAAAAGTAAGGATTGCTTTCGTTTCCGGAGCATAACTCAAGAACCGTTCAATATTTTTCAACAAAACTTTGTAGATATATCAAACAGATCCTAAAGTGGTGCCTTTTGCTATTTGCAGATTTTTGGCATTTTTATTTTTCCTGGTTTCCATGGAAACATTTTGGACTTAGTCTCAAAAAGTAAGGATTGCTTTCGTTTCCGGAGCATAACTCAAGAACCGTTTGATATTTTTCAACAAAACTTGGTAGATATATCAAACAGATCCTAAAGTGGTGCCTTTTGCTATTTGCAGATTTTTGGCATTTTTAATTTTCCTGGTTTCCATGGAAACGATTCAGACTTAGTCCCAAAAGTGAGGGGTGGGCTTCGTTTCCGGAGCACAACTCGAAAACTTCTCTATATCTTTCAGCAAAACTTGGCAGATATGTGAGGCAGATCTTGAAGTGGTGCCTTTTGCTATTTGCAGATATTTGTGATTTATTATTTTCTCTGTTTCCACGGAAATGATTCAGACTTATTCTCAAAAGGAAGGGGTGGGTTTCGTTTCCGGAGCATAACTCAAGAACCGTTAAATATTTTTCAACAAGACTTGGTAGATATATCAATCAGATCCTAAAGTGGTGCCTTTTGCTATTTACAGATTTTTGGCATTTTTACTTTTCCCGGTTTCCATGGAAACGATTCGGACTTAGTCTCAAAAGTGAGGGGTGGGCTTCGTTTCCGGAGCATAACTCAAGAACCGTTCAATATTTTTCAACAGAACTTGGTAGATGTATGAAACAGAACCTTAAGTGGTGCCTTTTGCTATTTGCCGATTTTTGGCATTTTTAATTTTCCTGGTTTCCATGGAAACATTTTGGACTTAGTCTCAAAAAGTAATCATTGCTTTCGTTTCCGGAGCACAACTCAAAAACCGTATAATATTTTTCAACAAAACTTGGTAGATATATCAATCAGATCCTAAAGTGGTGCCTTTTGCTATTTGCAGATATTTGTGATTTATTATTTTCTCAGTTTCCATGGAAACAATTTGGACTTAGTCTCAAAAGGGAGGGGTAGGTTTTGTTTCCGGAGCACAACGCGAAAACTTCTTAATATCTTTCAGCAAAACTTAGCAGATATGTGAGGCAGATCCTAAAGTGGTGCCTTTTGCTATTTGCAGATTTTTGTCATTTATTTTTTTCATGATTTCCATGGAAACGATTTGCACTTAGTCTAAAATCAAGCTAGACTTTAAGTAACTGTCAGATGATTTGTTCTTTCAAAGATGTGGGGGCCGGGGGGATATGTCATCTTCTGATGACTCTTGTTTTGAGTTTATCAGAAGTTCCACACAGATTCTCTCCTTTGAAGGACATTTGATACATCAATAACTTACGAATACCCTCAAAAAGACTACCATATATCTGGTGAAGCCTACATAAATATTTGGTCTTCAGTAACCGGTAAGAATTGTTCTTCAGTAACCCATGTTTCTCGTAAGAGGGACGGGATCGGATGGTCAGGCTCGCTGACATGGGTGATACGTCATCGTATACCAAGGGCGTAGATCGATGCTCATGCTGTTGATCACTGGATTGTCTGTTCCAGACTCGATTATTTACAGGCCGCCGTCATATAGCTGGAATATTGCTGAGTGCGGCGTTAAACAACAATCAATCAATCAAACAAAAGACCGTTGCGCTACGACCAGCGTTGAGACCTACGACAGTCATTGGATTTTACGATCACTTTGTGAAACAGGGTCCGGTTCCTCAAAGCGATTGTAGCGCTAAGGTAACTCCCTTAACAGCGATAGGATTTAGCGATCAAGTGTAACAGGGTCCGGTTTAACAGTGTTGAGAGCGTTGAGAGCACAGTCATAGGATTACGATCACTTTGTGAAACAGGGTCCGGTTCCTCAAAGCAATTTTAGCGCTAAGGTAACTCCCTTGAGAGCCTTGAGAGCTACGACAGTCATAGGATTACGATCACTTTGTGAAACAGGGTCCGGTTCCTCAAAGCGATTTTAGCGCTAAGGTAACTCCCTTGAGAGCCTTGAGAGCTACGACAGTCATAGGATTACGATCACTTTGTGAAACAGGGTCCGGTTCCTCAAAGCAATTTTAGCGCTAAGGTAACTCCCTTGAGAGCTACGACAGTCATAGGATTACGATCACTTTGTGAAACAGGGTCCGGTTCTTCAAAGCGATTTTAGCGCTAAGGTAACTCCCTTACTTTAACATTAGCTTAAAATTGTAGTAACGATAAGATCGCCTTGTGGAAAGGGGTCCATGCGGACCATTCAGAGGTCGTGTTCGTCTTGGCAGCGGGTGCGTGAGCTTGTCATGGACCATCATACTGCCTGACAGATCTGTGATAATGTGGGGATCACGCAGGATGTTCCATCGCATACGCCTTGGTGGCTTGGTCACTGGTATCTGTTACCGTGGTAGATCGAGGCTCATGCTGTTGATCACTGGATTGTCTGGTCCAGACTCGATTATTTACAGACCGCCGCCATATGGCTGGAATATTGGTGGGTGCGGCATTACACAACAAATAAACAAAATAGTGTTAAAAGATCACATGCAAAAACAAACATAATTAAACACAATAATCACTTATTCATGACATATAATATACATTGCTGATTAGGAAAAAACAAATAATCAAAAATTATAAGCGTACAATCGCAAATCAAAAGTGCAATATTTTGTACTTGGGTTTACTTCCCTCGAAATAAAGCACCCAGTCAGAGCGGGTGGGCGTGCACTGAAGTGTAACGAAGCCTTTCATTGGCTGGTTCTTTGCTGATACACTCAGGGCTCATTGTGTGTGTATAGAGATGATGGGTTTTGTAAATACATGCTCATTTTTTGGCATAACATTTTGCAATCAACAGACATCATAACATGTCATGTGTAAAGTATCACACCTGCCTGTCTGTGTAATTACATAATGTGACAGAGACAGAACTCGGGTGCACGAGCAATAAAGCAATGCGTTTTGTTTATGGTGTATAGCCTGATTGGTGTTAAGTTCAAATTGCATGAGGTCAGTGATCGAAGTTGTGTATTGCATATTGTCATTAGCAGACAGGCAGGCAGACACGTAGGTGTCAATAAAACAGACATTGCGTTTTGTCTGTTACAGAGGCATATCTATATCCTAGAAATTCTGACAATGTTAACTAATGACGTTGCATTTTAGTATCGAACTGAGAAAGTGACTCCGCGAAGAAGAACGTGTGGTGAAATAGTCAAATGAACAGTTAAATCGGTAATCTACTGTCATAACATATGAAAAGCTTACGCCTGTGAAATATCAACAAAAGTCAAAACATTAGAAAAATGGCTCACATCAAAGCCTACTCCGAGTACACACCGCCAGCGAAGGTTTTCCGTCTTGAAATGTCGAACGATTCACTGGTTGACACATAGCTGAGTAGATCTAGATCCTTAACAAGGTTCTTTTATGTAACGAGTAGATTATTTACTATTAATTTGTTTGTGTACACAACCAAGATTAGACTACTCCTGCTCACGACCTTATAAGGTTGTCTCCCAAAACCCCTACATCCCATAACCCCTACAACCCAGTACCCCTACAATTAGTTAAAACAACACCCAGCCATTACCTGTCTGGCATAATGAACTGACCCAAGGAGATACTGCAGGGTGAAGTATACAGTGTGAGCTGCATAGAGTATACAGATGAGAAGGGATTAAGATTGTGCTGTTGTTATTAGGGTTTAATAATTCATTTTGCAAATCGTAATAATATCAGTTGTAAGAGTGTTGGAGATAGTAAACTGAGATAAATAATATGAGATGATTTTGGGTGATATTTACGAGGGGCGTTCAAAAAGTAGTCAGCCTAACTATATTCGCGATGTCCAATGTTTGAAAAGCTTCCATTTTATTTTGAAGAAATTATTAGCTAAGCCATACCCAAAATTTCACATATCACAACACATTGGGGTATAGTATTTCTTTAAAAAATTGCAAAAAATGAAAAACGATCTGTCATTTGGTACCTCTTGGATAATGGCATGCCCTCAGATAATGTCATATATGTTCAGTATAGTATTTAATGACTACCCGTCATAATCAATGTTCAAAGATTTGTATTGTTTGATTTACATTTAGACGGGGGCTGTTTTTCAAGGACACCCCCATTTTAATCTTTCAAAAACTGTGTCCAGATATTCAAGCTGGTACTGTTTACAATATATTGAGAGCTGACATTTGTGTGACCATTCAATATTTAGTTTGAATAGGGCTGCGCAATATAACCAGTTTACCGGTTCACACATGAAAACGATACGTATTGATCGAGCATTAACAAAAACATCTTGCATTATCTTACCTCACACATAAATGTCGCTTTCTGATTGGCTGAGCGCTCTTCTATTATTTCAATGGACCCCGCTTACAAGCGAGTAACATTTCAATGTTACCCCGCTGTCTATGGCAACTCATTTGGTACATCGTGGTAGTAATTCTTTATCTCGAATTACATTGAATCACGTATGATGTACGGAAATTACCGATGTTTTGCGAATGCAAATCGATGGAAGGGAGATAAACCTAAATCTGTATTTCTTGTCAGCAAAATCTAGCGATGGCTACAAAAAGATTTGTACCCGTGTTTCAAACAATTCAAAATTAACATTAAGGTCTTCTGTAAGATAAATACGTTGTTCACTGGTCACGAGGGGTGCAGGGGTTGATGTACCCTCGATGTTTGTTTATGTTCCCTGAAAGAATCGATGGGGAACATAAACAAACATCGAGGGTACATCAACCCATGAGCCCTCGTGACCAGTGAACAACTTATAATATATTGCAATACATATCTCAATATATGCTTTCGCATCGCAATATATCGCAATATGAAAATATGCATTCGCAATAATATATCACAATATGAAAAATGTATGATGTATGAAGTGAAAACATGAGGGAACAAGCTATGTCCTTATGATTACGTTATCTGAAAGGGGCTGGGTAGTGTCTCCAAAACAAGCTCTTTCAGAAAACCCCTACAGCCCATAACCCCTACAGCCCAGAATTAAACCTCAAGTTCAATATCATTAAACTTTTGTTAAAATATTTTTGTTATCATTCTCTCAATTGCTAAGTGTTTGGGCTGGTCCATTGTTTGAAATAAGTAAATGGCAGGAGATGTATGGGTTATGGGATGTAGGGGTTTTGGGAGGTTACCTTATAATCACATATAAGCTGTGCGAACCTATTCACCGCGCATGCGCCATGAGAGCAGTGCAGCGCAGCGCACAGCTTTTGAAACCACTTTTCACCCCAGCTGGGGTGAATTTATTGAATCGTTTGAACTCCGATTTAATCATTTGTTACTGTAAGTCCATACCGAAAGGTATCAGAATCTGCAAAGTTGTGTTTTACGTTGCATGTGACCTTTAAGTGTTGAAGTTAAACGTGGGGACTGTTTAGGGTTTCAACAAGACCACCACGGTTCTCATCCTTCTCCCGAGTTGGCATTTGTCATCGGTGTAGAAGACGCTGTTCGGGAGGTAGTGCGATGCACTACAAGTTATTTTCAAGACTCCGTGGGAGCTCACACCTTACATCCTTTCGGCATTGTAACACCTATATATAATCCTGTTTGGCGTAGTCATGGTGACTAAACTTTCCGGCAGTGTTAATATTCACATTTTGTCTGTTCCTCCCAGACTGTAAATTTCAATTTCAATTTTGTTTTTTAATAAAATATGTTACAGTCACAGTTTTAATACCCGGAATTTGTTTTTCAAATCAAGTATAACAAGAAGACAAAGTCATCAATATCCCCGCAATGGCAAAATACTCTTCATGAATATGTCTACGAGTTATGATTATGTCAATTGTTTAGATGTGTATATAGAAAAGTGGAAGTAGAGTATTGAAAGGTTTTTAAAGTTCTGGTCCAGAAAGGAACACTACCACCAGTTTCAGTCTAAGTCAAACTTGTTGCCATGGAAACGCCAAAAATATTTTATTCAGAATACCAAAACTACCAAAAGGCACCAGTACACCACCAGACCAATCTATGTGCCAAGTTTGGTGAAGAAATAGTGAACGGTTTTAGAGTTCTGCTCCGGAAAAGAGCACTACCACCAATTTCAGTCTAAGTCAAACTTGTTGCCATGGAAACGCCAAAAATATTTTATTCAGAATACCAAAACTACCAAAAGGCACCAGTACACCACCAGACCAATCTATGTGAGCACATTTTATGCGAAAAATATACACATGTGTTAATTTACTGTGGTTTGTAAGGTTATTGCACACATTGAAGGCGACATATGTTTACTCAAGTGTATTTAATAGGTATAGACTCAACATTTATGTAGAGTAGATGGTAGATGTGGTTTCAAAAATGACAAAATATTGTTGAACAGCTGAAGTTGTTGACATCTAAGAACGCATGTCAGGACACATGCTATTTCAAGGTTGACAGTTCCGCGACTAGCAGAACCTATTAGTACACAGGCAAACTGTAGCGCAAATAAGGTTGCGCAACAGAGAGAAAAATTACCGGTCTTCCTATCGCTCACATATAGGAAGACTGGTCAATTTTCTCTCTTTTACGGAACCCTATTCGCGCTACTGATTACCTGTACTTACAGTAACTGATTCTTTGGAAAATAGTTTCTCACGGAAACACTGTTGCTTGCGTGTCTGCATATGTGGATGTGTTTAAAGGGCCACTGATCCAGAGCGATTAATGTTTCCAGCCAACAGTCTAAGCAGAGCTCTCATAATTAATAATATAATCTATTATATGGTCTCTGGTCTAAAGGACCGTTCATAGTTTCTGGCTAGGGGGTGGGGTGGTGATGATTTTTATGGAGAAGCATGTACAATGTGAATTACATGAACACACAATAATAACACCCTACAAAATAAAAATTTATGTACAAAACACCCCCACCCCCTTGCATGTCATGTACAAAATCAATGACACCCCATCCCCTTCCCATAATTTCTAAATTTTTTAAACATATTTTTATGTACAAAATTGCTGACCCCCTAGTACGTGTGTACAAAATTGCTGAAAACCCCCTGCCCCCACCTAGCTCCCCAGAACAAAATGGGTGACCTCCCTCAACATTATCATCACCTGCCTGGTTCCCTGGGTCTGTTGTGCCTGCGCTAATGCTCAGTGTCGGAGCGTTAGCGCAGGCGCAACAGACCCAGGGAACCAGGCTGCCTAATCAGTGGGACACTAGGAAGGGTGGATGCCCATCAGATGCCGTTATTTGAAAATATCCCCGGTAGTTCTTGTCTGATTGTAATAAAGTATCCCAGGGTGAGTTCTCGGTTTGAAATGTAGGGTTGTGTTAGAAAAGGTGCATGGCTTGGAGAGAATAATCAACTGGTAACAATGCATCAGCGACCCCAAATGTCCGGATGTTGGTTGGTTGATTGTTTTTTTAACGACGCACTCAGCAATATTCTGGCTATATCACGGAGCGGGACACCAGAAAAGGGCTTCACACATTGGGCTCATGTGGGGAATCGAACCTTTGGCGTGACGAGTGAACGCTTTAACCACTAGGCTACCCCACCAATGAATTAGTGAGTGACAGTTACACTTGCATCACAGTGTGTCAGTTTGATGTGGAATGAAATAATGAAACAGGCTGCAGACATTGCTACTAGACCCGCGTGTATGAATATAGTGCTGATAAGCTATGAAACATACCAGGTCAAATCAGAGATACAACCCCATAATGCCAGGTTCCCAGCACACCTGCACAGATGCAACTCTGCACAGCAAATTGCAGCACGTTAGGAGTGAGTGAGTTTCGTTTTACGCCGCACTCAGTAATATTCCAGCTATATCGCGGTGGTTTGTAAATAATCGAATCCAGTGATCAGCAGCATGAGCATCGATCTGTGTCAACCAAGTCAGCGAGCCTGACCACCTGATCCCATTAGTCGCCTCTTATGACGAGCATGGGTTGCTGAAGATCAGTTCTAACTCGGATCTCCGTGTATGTATGAGGAAGTAAATAACTATTATACATATATATAAATGTTGACCTGTATTGGTCTGGCTCGGTCTGACTGTCAGACACTTTATCAGATGGTTAAAACTATGATGTTTTTCAGAACCTGTATATCCTGATATTGACCAACTTGATACACTGACTATTATATATATCATCGGGGGTCACACACAGTCCCTCGTGTCTTTGCGAGGATTAAAGATTTAAAAAAAGGAAAATTGAGATGACCCTGACTGGAAATGCTTCACAGTACAATAATGACAATGATCGGAACATTTCTTCTGCCTAAATCTGTCTTTTCACATGGAAAACGGAAGGAATAGTGGCTCTTTCCATTGTTCGATGGCTCTTTCCATTGTTCGATTATTTACAGACCGCCGCCATCTAGCTGGAATATTGCTGAGTGCGGCGTAAAACTAAAATCACTCAATCACTCATAACTGGAATACTGTTAACAGCTGTGTAAAGCACAAATCACCCACTATTTCAACTTATATAAAACGATCAAAACAACAACAGAAATGTAATGTAGATCATCATATTTATTGATATACATCACAGGCATGCTATAAATAGGTATCCTACTAGTATCTATTGATATGGTCACAGGACACGCTTGTCTTGGAAAGATGGAGTCTTATTCGAATGAATCGTTTGAAATAGGATAATTATTGAAATAATTCTAGGGTTGATATATATATTAGACATGGCTATTTATCATTGAATAATAGATTGGAAACTACAACTATTATCATATCACAGACGTCTAAATCGGTGCAGGCGCACCCGGTCATAGGCAGCAACACGAGCCGGTGACATTTTCATTGAAGATGGCGTCATTTAGTGGACAGTCTCTTGTCATGTCCAGATTGTCCTTGATTATCCGTCGATCATATGTCCTTTCTATAACCTTAACAAGTAGTGGATCATATACATATGTATGTTAATACCAAATGTTAGATCAAAGATAAGTGTTGACGAAAAGCATCCCAGGTAGTTGGATAACTTGTTCCCAATCCCAATTCACATTTGTGAATAAAATATGTTTAAATGAAATGAAGACTGTAAAACATAACTAAAAACATCACATAGGTTTACACGTGCTGCACGTAGTATCGCCAGACACAGCACTGTGCGTTATTCCTGATTTTGACACTTTCAAGAAAGGCCGATTTCCGTATACCGTTCTTTGTATCAATCCAATTGAATCTGGTCTTTGAATGGCATTTTTTGTAGAAGTGATGCACATAAGGAAGAGATTGATTGATTGAGTTTAGTTTTACGCCACTTTTTATACAGCAATATTCCAGCAATATCACGGCGGGGGACATCAAAAATGGGCTTCAAACATTGTACCCATGTGGAGTTCGGCGTAACGAGCTAACGCTTTAACCACTAGGCTATACCCCACCGCCCTATACAAGGAAGAGAGTTTTTATGGATGTCAACACACACAATCAGGAACATAGTTTTATGGATGTCAACTTCTTTATTATGAGGAACACGACGTTTCTCAGTATTTCTTACATGTACATATATATGCTCTCTGTCTCATACCATTCATTCACCTGATGAAGGAGTAAGGATATACCCCGAAACGTTGTGTTCCTCATAATAAAGAAGTTGACTGACTGACTGAGTTTGGTTTTACGCCGCTTTTAGCAATATTCCAGCAACATCACGGCGGAGGACACCAGAAATGGGCTTCACACATTGTACCCATGTGGGGATTCGAACCCGGATCTTCGGCGTGACGAGCCAACGCTTTAACCACAAGGCTACCCCACCTCCCCATAAAGAAGTTGATATCCATAAAAACTCTCTGCCTTATTGATTCTGCTTATAGATGTGTGATATACTCGTGATGATGTTGGACGTAAGTGAAATGGAGCTGATGACGCCACTTCCGAAACGAAAATATGTTGACGAATTAACACTAAACGTGAGATAAAACAAACATGTACTATCGACTGATGACGTGCGTGTACTGCCAAATATAGAAGTCACAGCAGGTGGGTATGTGGATGAAGGATCGGTTTACGTTGTAGACTTCCGTGACAACTGTCAAACTTTAAGTTAAAATTTACTTGTGAAACTTAAAATAAACCATATTTTCATTATCACCCCTTTCCATATCTATTCTGATCGATTATTTATTCCGACATCGTGTTGCCATGGATACCTCGCGGATGTCGTCTGCTGGTTGGTTTTATTGCGCATGCGCATAACACCCGGTTACTGCCACAGGAGGAATGAGAAGTACACTCCAAACACGATGACAAAGATGTTCCTGGTTTGGATGTGACCTTCGCCTGTAAAAGAGACACGACCCCATGAAAATATACATTAGTACCATTTCTTAATATTTCAGAGTTACAGATAACTTTTTGGGTCACTGAGTTATGTACTCGCTTGTGTTCATCTCAATTGGGTATCCTAATTTTCCTTTGAGTAACCAAAAACTTTGAACCCACTTCACTTAAACTCAGTTGGGTGTTTTGCCATTTTCCATTAATTTTTAAAATATAATAAAGGTTAAATGTTGGTTTACGTGTTTGTTATCTATATTTGATCTGTAATATGAGAAACTATAAGAAAGACTGCAAGTTGCCAAGTTCATATGTTGAAATAGAACCTCTCAATATTCCTCAGTTATTTTATATATCCACCCGTACGCAAGCTACGATCTGACATTTTTGTGTGTACGCATGTAAGATGAAATTTATTGAGTATTTACAAACATTCAAGCGTACCTGTACGCAATAGTCTTAATAGGAAGTGAGATTTCACATACATATTTGCGTAATTTACGCAGATACGCAGCTTATCTGTACCTCTGAATATTATTATCTTTTACAGATTAAAAAATGCTCCAGAGAGAGGCCGGGTGGTTCTGGCCACAGGCAAACTGTAGCGCAAATAGGGTTGCTGGCAGGGGTAATGGAGGCGAAAAAAGATTTGATATGCCACGAGTGGCGCTTAAAATGTTGAATGAAATATATTTTACGCGAGTATTTATTACATATGAGGTTGGAAATCTGAGATCACACCCCTGTGAGGGAAAAGGGTGTCTACCTTTGATCGTGGCGATATTGTTTTCTGGCACAGTGAGGCTGGTTAGGCTTATCATCAGCTTCAGTACCCTTGCCCCCTCTATAAGCACCCTAGACATCGAATGGGACTTGTCCCAGGAAGCTCTGCCTTGTCGAACCCACCAAAAACGTTCCGGAGAATATGGAGATTCCCCAACCCTGCAGCTTTCTGCATTACCCAAAGTGTCCAAAGAGCTGTGCTCCCGATGGAGAACCCGGGCACTCTCCTGTTCTGGGCGTGAAGGTACAAAACCAAGAGCACCGAGAACAACGGCGAGCCTGACGACAGTGGCTTTGGGATGCAAACGAGACACTTCAAAGGCGAGGTCTCCCGTTTTATCATACTTTTCTATCTTGCCAATCACATTGCTGTCCAAAGTGACAGAAAATTCAATGGATTTATCCAAAAGGACAAGATCAGGTTTGTAAGCAGGAATTTGTCTCAGACTGGGTATACAGTCTCTGGTATGGGCCTATTCCAAAGAATTGTAAATTTGTCATGAGTGAGTGAGTGAGTTTAGTTTTACGCCGCTTTTATCAATATTCCAGCAATATCACGGCGGGGGACACCAGGAATGGGCTTAACACATTGCACCCATGTGGGGAATCGAACCCGGGTCTTCGGCGTGACGAGCCAACGCTTTAACCACTAGGCTACCCCACCGCCCCGTAAAATTGTCATGAGGCATGGGCCATGATCAGGTCATACTGTGGGCTGATCTCGGAATCAAAGCCACAGGTATGGCAAAGACAGTAGTAGAAACAACGAGCCATGTCATCATGCCATTTAAGATATGCTACACAGATACAGATGCTTTGAAAGGAACGCCTAAAATACATAGCAAGTTGATTGTTGGGTAACATATGTTATTTTTGGGATTACACTTTCTTAGTATTGCCGGGACTCGGAGAGTAGTCCGGATTATGGAGAAAACCGAATTACACAGAGTCCGGATTTGACAGATTCCACTGTACACGCAATTATAAAAATAAAATGCTAACGATTTGAAAGGTACATGTAATCGTATTCTTAAACCCAAATATTTCTAATTGAACTCCACAACGTTCGAATATGTCATACGTTTCTCTAAAATCAAGAACATGTATATAAACTCACTGCTGAGAACCACGACCAGATCGGCCTCCATAGCCCTGGACAGTCCCGTGTACTCCAGCTGGCATCGGAATCTGGAGGACTGGTCAGTGGTGGTCAAACGGACTGGCAACACGCTGTAAGCATCCACGTACCCTGTAACAGTGAGTGTATGACGAGTGAGGTTTAAGAAGCAGTTGCGATATACATTACCTGCCTACACAAAACTAAACAGACTACTCAAAACACAATCTGTTTTTTGCCATGACAAATCCATTTCATTCGGATGAACAAATTCGGTGTTCTTTAACTTTTTTGAGTAGTATATTTTTTATTAAAGTGACATTCAGTCGGCATTAAAGTTCATAGATAGAGTGAGTGAGTTTAGTTTTACGCCGCTTTTAGCAATATTCCAGCAATATCAAGGCGGGGGGACACCAGAAATGGGCTTCACACATTGTACCCATGTGGGGACTCGAATCCGGATCTTCGGCGTGACGAGCGAAAGTTTTAACCACTAGACTACCCCACCGCCTCTGATAGACATAAATATTAATATACTCTTGTAAGTGACGTCAGGACTACTATGGTACGGACGGCGTTGTACCATTACTTACAACGGCAGTATGCGTGTGTATGAAACATTTCAGATCGTCATGTATTGTCAGCAGATGAATGAAATTCCATGTATTTAAAAGAAGTCATCGATCGATACCAAGAGACTGGAAGATCTAAGGTAACACGTTATCTAATTACGTCGTAATGGAACACCGGTGTTAAAACCTACCAACACAAAAAATAGACACCAAAACAGTCAAAGACTCTTTGTGAGATCAGAAGCATGAACGAGTGAATATGGTTTTACGTCACCTTTAGCACTATTCAAGCAATATTACGGCGGGGGACACCAGAAATGGGTTGAACACATTGTACCCATGTGGGAAATCGAACCCGGGTCTTCAGCGTGACGAGCGGGCGCTTTAACCGTTAGGCTACCCCACCGGTGTGAGCTCTCGCTGGCCACGTTAAATGTTAAACACTTTACCTGTTGTACCCGTGGTGTAGTACACAGGCGTCACGGTGTACAGGCGGTCATCCTTATACCAGGCGAAGTTCGGCGCGGGGCTGGCGTGTGTTGCCTTACACGTCAGGTTAGCCAGCAGCCCGGGGACTGGTGGGTTACTCCAGTAAAGGCTCACGTTAGTTGGCAGATCTGCAACAAAGAAGTGTGCCAATATGTAAGCGAGTTTGTTTTGGTTATGCTATTCCAATCGTGAAATACACAATGCCATTTTAGAAAGGGGTCAAATGTAACATATGTTATATTTGGGATTACACTTTCTTAGTAAAGTGTACTGGCGATTAGGTGCCTGACTCTGAGGGTGTGGGTTCGAATCCCGGATGGGACTCAACCCAAAACGTACTAGAATCTGTACTTTACTAAGAAAGTGTAATACCAAATATAACATATGTTACATTCCAATCGTACCTGGAAGCTAATAATTTTGATTTGTTTGACGCCACAATGAGAAACATTTAAGCACTATGACGGAGGTGGTTCGATCCCAGGCAACGTCATACCCAAAAAAACGTTAAAGGGAGGTAATTGTTGTTTCCCTGCCTGCCTCAGCATCAAAGCATTACTGCTATGGGACCGTAAAAATCAGGGGTTAGAATAGGTCTTCAGTAACCCATGTTTGTCGGGATCAGGGGATCAGGTTTGACTTGGTTGTCACATGTCATGGTATTCCAATTGCGTAAATTGGTGCTCATGCTGTTGAACACCGGGTTGTCTGGTCCAGACTCCATTATTTTCAGATCGCCGTTATATAGCTAGAATATTGCTGAGTGTGGTGTTTGACAGCAAACAAACTACTACTACTACTATTGCTGCTGCTACTACTACTACTACTGCTGCTACTGCTACTACTACTACTACAGTCGGTTCCCAATAGCGCAGATCGATGCTCATGCTGTTGATCACTGGATTGTCTGGTCCAGTCTCGATTATTTACAGACCGCCGCCATATAGCGGGAATATTGCTGAGTGCGGCGTAAAACTAAACTCACTCACTCACTACTGCTACTACTACTACTGCTGCTGCTTCTGCTGCTGCTTTTGCTGCTACGTTTTAGTACATAGGCACGCATTCAGGTAATACAACTCACCGACAACGCTGAGGTATGCAGTTTTCGACAATGTCCCAGCGTCACAGATGTAGCCCCCCTCATCCGATGTGGTGACAGTGGAGATGGTGAGGTTATACGCCCCCACAACCTGGTACCGACTGGAAGCCACCACGGTGGTGTCAACAGTTAACGGGGTGTTGTCTGTCTGCAATAAAAAAAATTATTTTATTATTTCATTAATTCTCGATCAAGGGTCAAATGCAGTTACATCAACAGTGAAGATCCAGGTTAGAATTGATCTTCAGTAACCCATGCTTGTCGTAAGAGGCGACTAACGGGATCGGGTGGTCAGGCTCGCTGACTTGGTTAACACATGTCATCATGCTGTTGATCACTGGATTGTCTGGTCCAGACTCGATTATTTACAGACCGCCACCGTATAGCTGGAATATTGCTGAGTGCGGCGTAAAACTCAACTCACTCACTCACCCAACATAGAAAGGGACGATGGGGTAGCCTACTGGTTAAAATGTTCGTTCGTCATGCTGACACAGGAGTGATCTTACGCTGACACAGGATTCTTTCACGAATTAGTGCTCGTTTGAGTTGCTTATAGTTGCATAACCTAACTTTAGAATAGACACGTCACATCTACACCTTGGAGTGATCTTAGGTAAGGAGTGGTGGGGGAACGTCGTATATATAAACACGTGAATAACTGACAATGCCTAAGGTAAGATCCTAGATGTACTGGAACAACAAGCCAAGTCTTGTCTCCCAGACCCAAGAGAATGAATTAAATAGGAATCCTACTCAAGTCTAGAATGATTTGGCAAGTCTAGATTGACTTTGCTCTATGGTTGTTCTCGGCTCCACGATAATTGTATTTCCGGGACTAAATGTCTACAACATGCCATACATACCTTTTTCCATTTTACGGATTCTGAGGTTTTCCCTGCGACGATACATGCCAGGGTGGCTGTCTGCCCTACCCCGGCAGTTGTGTTAAAAGGGGCAATGGAGAACGATATGGCGGCCATACTTGCTGCAAAAAGCAAGAAACATTTTTCATTACGGATTCAGTTTTATCAGTTTCGAGTACAATGATATTTCAGCCATGTAAGGAGTTCATAACATTCGGGTGTATGACAGCGTCATGATTAACGTCATCACTGGATTGTCTGGTCCAGTCTCGATTATTTACAGATCCTCGCCATATAGCTGGAATATTGCTGAGTTCGACGTTAAACAACAAACAATACATGATAGCGGGGCAGCGGGATACAATCTGGTAAGGGGAATATTGCTGATGGCGACGTTAAACAACAAACAATACATGATAGCAAACTGGATAGCGGGGCAGGGGAATATTGCTGATGGCGACGTTAAACAACAAACAAAACATGATAGCGGGGCAGCGGGATACAATCTGGTAACAACAAACAATACATGATAGCGGGGAATATTGCTGATGGCGACGTTAAACAACAAACAATACATGATAGCGGGGCAGCGGGATACAATGCTGGTAAGGGGGAATATTGCTGATGGCGACGTTAAACAACAAACAATACATGATAGCGGGGCAGCGGGATACAATGTGGTAAGGGGAATATTGCTGATGGCGACGTTAAACAACAAACAATACATGATAGCGGGGCAGCGGGATACAATCTGGTAAGGGGGAATATTGCTGATGGCGACGTTAAACAACAAACAATACATGATAGCAATCTGGGGGCAGCGGGATACAATCTGGTAAGGGGAATATTGCTGAGGTAAGGGCGACGTTAAACAACAAACAATACATGATAGCGGGGCAGCGGGATACAATCTGGTAAGGGGGAATATTGCTGATGGCGACGTTAAACAACAAACAATACATGATAGCGGGGCAGCGGGATACAATCTGGTAAGGGGGAATATTGCTGATGGCGACGTTAAACAACAAACAATACATGATAGCGGGGCAGCGGGATACAATCTGGTAAGGGGGAATATTGCTGATGGCGACGTTAAACAACAAACAATACATGATAGCGGGGCAGCGGGATACAATCTGGTAAGGGGGAATATTGCTGATGGCGACGTTAAACAACAAACAATACATGATAGCGGGGCAGCGGGATACAATCTGGTAAGGGGGAATATTGCTGATGGCGACGTTAAACAACAAACAATACATGATAGCGGGGCAGCGGGATACAATCTGGTAAGGGGGATATTGGTTGATGGCGACGTTAAACAACAAACAATACATGATAGCGGGCAGCGGGATACAATCTGGTAAGGGGGATATTGCTGGGACGTTAAACAACAAACAATACATGATAGCGGGGCAGCGGGTAAGGGGAATATTGCTGATGGCGACGTTAAACAACAAACAATACATGATAGCAGGGCAGCGGGATACAATCTGGTAAGGGGAATATTGCGGGACATGATACAGGGCAGCGGGATACAATCTGGTAAGGGGGAATATTGCTGATGGCGACGTTAAACAACAAACAATACATGATAGCGGGGCAGCGGGATACAATCTGGTAAGGGGGAATATTGCTGATGGCGACGTTAAACAACAAACAATACATGATAGCAGGGCAGCGGGATACAATGGTGGTAAGGGGAATATTGCTGATGGCGACGTTAAACAACAAACAATACATGATAGCGGGGCAGCGGGATACAATGTGGTAAGGTGGAATATTGCTGATGGCGACGTTAAACAACAAACAATACATGATAGCGGGGCAGCGGGATACAATCTGGTAAGGGGAATATTGCTGGTAAGGGGAATATTGCTGATGGCGACGTTAAACAACAAACAATACATGATAGCGGGGCAGCGGGATACAATGTGGTAAGGGGAATATTGCTAAGTGCGACGTTAAACAACAAACAATACATGATAGCGGGGCAGCGGGATACAATGTGGTAAGGGGAATATTGCTGATGGCGACGTTAAACAACAAACAATACATGATAGCGGGGCAGCGGGATACAATGTGGTAAGGGGGAATATTGCTGATGGCGACGTTAAACAACAAACAAAACATGATAGCAGGGCAGCGGGATACAATCTGGTAAGGGGCAACCGGTTTCATGAGCAGCCTGATATCAGGGTATAACTAGATACCAGTGCAGCTTGGTGAAAGGGCAACTGGGTAGTAGGTTACCTCGTTATTTGGGCAACGGGACTCTTAATGCTACAGAAATCATAAATCTCATGTCCAAAGTGAGTGAGTTTATTTTTACGCCGCTTTTAGCAATATTCCATGAAACAATATCACGGCGGGGGACACCAGAAATGGGCTTCACGCATTGTACATCACATGGGGAATCGAACTCGGGTCTTCGGCGTGACGAGCGAACGCTGAAACCGCTACGCTACCTCACCGCCTCTCATAACCAAAGAGAAACCATAGTCTTAGAGCTGAGATTACTCAATGGTGCCCAACGACACCTCGACAACACAACAACAGACAAACAATTGGTAACAAGACAGCAGAGAAATAAGATAATTTGAGAACAAGGTAATCAAACAAGCTTATTCAAGTCCATTATACACTTACAGTGGACAATCGCAAGACCGACGATGATACTGGACAGCGTCATCATGTTGTTTGGTGTAGCTTGACCCGTTGTTGAGAGAGGACTATGGTCAACTGTAAACTGACCAGTGCCCGTGGCTATTATATACCCTCCCGTGTCCAGGCACATGATATAAGCACATGGGTGTGTCTGCTCGATGGGGACAAGCTACAGCTATTCATTCAAGTAATTACCCTGTTCTGAGGGTAATTAGCTAATAAGCATAGTCTCTGTCACGATCATACGAAAATAATTTCCCGAGTGATTATTTAACAACATATTTTTGACAAGGGTTCGCGCTGATTCACGTAGCTATTAAAAGACATACGAACACATGTTTGGATTTCTCTGTATATTTTAGGATAAAAGTGATACTTTTCTTGAGTTATTTGTGTATGAAATATATTTTGGTGACAAGATGGCGATCTTAAACCTAAGTAAACATTTAGACAAACAACTACAAGGACAGCACGGTATTACCGGTATACCGCTATATCGCAATACGCTTTTCAAACGATATATATTGCAATATTTTTTCTGAGAACCGGTATTTTGGGTAAAGAACATATGAATTTGAACAACCATTATTGGCATGAGTATATAATGAAAATGAGCCCTGAGACTTTCTTCATTTCCTGAAACTGTGGAAATCAAGATTTACCACATATTCAAGACTTACATGGGCTTTCTTGGATATATTTGTTTCAGGGTCTGTATGACACACTAGTCTAAGATCTACGAATTGGGATACACTAAGTTAGCGAGCCTGACCACTGGATCCTGTTAGACGCCTCTTACAACAAGCATTTGTTGCTGAAGACCAACTCTAACCCCGATCTTCATTGTTTCGTTTTCTGTTAGAGGCAGGTGTAAATTCGTTGTATCGAAATGATGCCCGTCAAATAGCTATAGTGTATTTCTGAAATTGGAATTATAGATTCCAATCTAATCGCATGTTCTATACTTTTCTACTATCGAAAATATACTTCTCAAACGCCCGATCCTAGCTGACCTTATAACGACGAAACAACGGGCTATTCTTCAACCGCTTTGTGTAGCGTATGTAATCACACACACATGGATAAAAGTCACATTCCGTAAAATGGTAATAAAAACACAAAACCAGCTCGTATTTCCGGCTTACGGAAACACGATCTGTTTTATGTCACGTTTAAGTAAGCATACATGAGCATGTTTCCTTCGAATAAAAAAAATACATTAAATGAATCTTTTACCCTTTTTCATTTATCCTAATTAAATTGAAAGTGGAATCAAATAATGTACTCATGGGTATCCTCCCAAAACTTCCACATCTTATAACAACATTTCTGGTTGACTGCACACACTTTAGAATACTGATTACCTCAGTCTGTAATGGTTTAATCCATTAATCAGTAGTGAATACAAACAATCACTTAGTAATATATTAACAAAAATACATATCTTTTTCTGGTTAGATATAACAGTCTATGTAGAACATTTATATAGAACTTATGTCCTATAGTGTCCAAGCTTTCACCCGCACATTTGACAGTCATAACCCTGTCACTCTGTACTGTTGTTGGAGCAAGTGGACGGTTCTGTCTTTCAAGGTAAAATAATAAAACAAAATTTACAATTTTTGCCTACATGAAATATATATGAATTTATATTACATATATTTCCTGGGCTAATAGACACAAAAGATACATGGACGACAGGATGCGTGATGTGGAATGGCTCTGTTGTCGAAATTCGTCGCCCTCGTTATAGGGACCTGTTTAATCGCTTTGTAATTAGCGTTATTAGAAATCATATTAACGTGTTGATCCCCACCTAAAATGACAGACGAATGTTTACAGAAGCGATTTGGTTATTCTGCGTTCTCGTTTACAACTCGTTTCGTAGTACAGTGACGACCCTTCTCCTAAAGCAGTGACCACGATGACTATGCGACTGTGCTTGCTCTGTTTTACAGGTTAGTTTTTTGTTTGTGCGACCATCGGTGCAATGCATATGAATGTGTAAATGTTTGTTCGATGTATATTTTCACGATCAAAATCAGCTCGAATTCATTCAGCCTGGTTCCCGGGCTCTGCTGCGCCACGCTTCAACACTGCGCTACGCGTAGCGCAGCAAACCTCGGGAACCAGGCTGGAATTCACGCTATTACAGCTTCAGATAATATAAATATCTATTCAGCCATACGATAAACCATGTATTTTATCTACGGTAACACTGACATAATGAGGAATAGGTATACATAAGAGAGTACGTAATCACCTGCCTTTGGTGACTGAGTGAGTATGGTTTTATGCCACTCTTTTGCAATATTCCAGCAGTATCGGCGGGGGTTACACGAAATGGGCTTCACACATTGCACCCATGTGCCAATGGAACCAATGTTTTCGGCGTTTCAGCTGTTTCAAAACAATGTTTACAATATCAAGGCATAGCAGTGAATTGTGATAATATTTCTAAGGGACCGTTCATAATTTATGGCCAGGGAGGGTGATGGAGAAGCATGTACAATGTGAATGACCACCCCATGTACCCCCATAAATTTATGTACACAAATTGCTGACCCCCACCCCGTACGTGTGTGCAAAATTGCTGAACACACAACACACACACACACACACACACACACACACACACACACACACACTCGCCCCAGAACAAAATGGGTGGGAACCAACACACACACACACACACACACACACATTAAAATCATCATCACCCCCCAGCCATAAATTATGAACGGTGAACGGCCTTAAGTGGCATACATTACCAGTTTTCAATGTTTTCAACGTAACTTCTTAAAACAGAACTCCTCTGCATATATCTACTGTGTCTCCCTTTCTCTGTCAATATAGACTGTCATAGTTACTTGTTCTAAATATAACCATAGGTATAAAAGTAATTAATGTTTAAGTATATTCTTAGTACAAGTTATAAGTGAGTATGGCACTCACCTGGCACAGGTGTGGGAGGTGTGCATACGTAATTAACGGCAACTATTCTAACCAATAGTCTAATAAAGGCCATCAATATTTTCCATGTGTTTCTCGTGACCAAAGCTCAACAAGCAAAAGAGCTGGCAGGCGAAAAAAAACAATATCATATAAAATTATTTTCACTATTTGTAGAACTTTTTTCGAAATTCTACAATTTAGATCTTTTAAATAATAAATAGTCATAAAATCAATTTATGATGAAGATCGAGTCGCTTTGCATTGGTAACATATTAAAAATATATATTTGGAGGAGGATGAAGTTAACTTGGCTATTTAAGAGTGTGCAGGGTTAGAGTATAAATTTACACAGTAGCAGGGAAAATTGAGATTAAAAAATTATATTATTTCACGTCAGAATAAACCATTCAGTGCGGTTGGGAGAGGGAAACGCAGGGAAAAAACAGCCTAACAGCAATAAATCATGTTAGCATTATAAATTCCTTTAATATGTATGGGGTTACCAACATATAGATACAAAAGATCGCATGGACTTAAAATTTCTTGAACTTGCAGCAAGATTAAAACCGTCGACTCCTAATTTCATGATTTATGGGGAACTTGGTAGATTTCCGCTATCAGTCAGTATTGAAGATGAACTGGCTGGCATAGAACCTGTACGTGTACAACTCTCATATAATTATCCTATATAACTATATGGGTACATCGTCACTGATATAAAAGTGAACGCTCATGTATGTCCTTGGTTTAATCAAATACAGTAAGTATTGAACAGCTGTGGTATCACAGTAGTGTTTTCATCGTCTGTTATTTCTGAAAGCTGACTTGCCTCAACTATATAAGGAATACTGAAATATTATTGAATTAAAAATGGCGAAGTGATACCATGTCAAGTTCTAAAGGCACATGTTACCAGTATCTAGAACAACTACCTTCTTTAAACAGCTATCCATCACGGCCCGCAACCTATTGATTATCCTATCCATAACTATATTACAACGAGTCTTAAACCCCATGCACCAGTCGCTGGACTGACGGTGCCAGAGTGAGTGGGCGAGTTGGGTTTTATGCCGCTTTTAGCAATATTCCAGCAATATCACGGCGGGGAACTCCAGAAATGGGTTTAACACATTGTACCCACGTGGGGATTCGATCCCAGGCCTTCGGCGTGACAAGCGAACGTTTTAACCACTAGGCTACCCCACCGCCCCCGACAGTGTGAGAGAAAACAGAGACTCAGTGTATTTTGTGTGACTCTTCACTGTACATCTTCCGCTGGGCAGCATTTCATTACGATAGATCATTATATACTCTCCCAAAAAAGAAACGCATATAGGAATTTCAACTGTATTTTTATGTTTATTTTGAAACATCTTGTAGGCTTTGTGAGTCAATGAAATATAGCGAAATTGCACACTGGGAATGCAGACTTATCCGTCTTTGGCACCAAACTCGAGGAAAGTCAGTTTGAGTGTCCCATGGTGACGTGTGGTGACGCTGAAGTCAATACCTCGTGTGACCACCGTGGGCATCCAGAACTGCACGGCATCGCCTCGGCATCGAACGAATAAGTCTCAGAATCTCGTGTTGCCCAATCGCAGCCCACTCTGTCTGTAGTGCCTGTGCGAGTTGCTGGAAGTGTCTGGGGCTGAGGGTTACGGCGTCGCACCCGTCTGTCAGGGCATCCACAGATGTTCGATCGGGTTTAAGTCCGGTGATCTTGAGGGCCAGGGGAGCACATTGATGTTGTGGTTCTGGAGGAAGTCTCTAGTGTGACGTGCTGTGTGGGGCCTGGCATTGTCCTGTTGAAACAACTCCCTCTGGCGATCAATGATTGGAAGGAGGTGTGGGCGTAGGATTTCGTCACAGTACCGTTGAGCTGTCAGGTTGCCCTGGATCATCACCAAATCACTTCTCCTACGGCAGGTGATCTCTCCCACATCATAACACTGCCCCGGCCGAATCTGTCCACCTGGGAACGCAAGCGTCGGCGAAACGTTCACGTCGACGTCTGTACACCCGCATTCTTCCATCGCGTCGTTCCAATAGAAATCGTGATTCATCACTGAACCAGATTCTACGCCAATTCGGTAGGTTCCAGGCCTGAACGTTGGTGCACCATTGAACTCGATGTCGACGATGTTGTTGTCGAAGCACAGGGCCAAAATAAGGTCTTCTGGCACGTAAACCAGCCTCTCTCAACCTGTTCCTGACGGTCTGTGCAGAAAGCCTCCTCAATCCGGGTATTTGTCGAGCGGTACTGGTCGCCGTAGCTGTTCGATGACGCAGGTGATGTACCCGGATGTAGCGATCCTGCGCCGCAGTGGTCGCTCGAGGTCGCCCACTACGAGGGGCATCTGCTACCGCATTCTGCCGGCGATATCTCTCCCAGAGCCGTGAAATGGTGCTTTGGTGAACATTCATGCGTCGGGCAACTGCACGTTGAGACTGGCCAGCTTCAAGCAAACCAATGGCGATATGACGGTTGGCTTCACTTAGACGTGGCATTTTGCGTTCGTCAACAATATTCCAAATACAGTGAATAATCGACAGACAGCGATCAACCTTTTATACCCATCATTGAGACTATCTGATCCCCAACTTTCACGTGCATTGAATGTGTATTCTGTGACACTACACGCCGAAATTGAAAATCATGCTGTTAAATATGGGTATTTTACGGATGGTGCGTTTTGTTGTGATGTTTCAAAACATAAACACCATAGGACTCACAAACAGAGCAAAACCATGCTTTTGTAAAATGAATCACGTTTTAATTCATTGCTACATGAAATTTGCTATTTTTATGATGCGTTTCTTTTTTGGGAGAGTATATATTCCACACACAAATATTATAAAAATTACAAACATATTTACATTTAAACGAACGTTTTGTACTTTCAATCTTTTAGACTTAAAATGTTTGTCAAAATATATCATCATAATATTCAATAAGTAACAACTAGTTAAGTAACAGTTACTTACGTTAGACATTCTTGTCATTTAAATCAATAATATTATGATATTTGCTCTTGTACCACCACTGGTGATTTTTTTTATGGAGAAATGGAAGTACAGTATCGATCAAACGATTGTTCGTTCATGTAGTAGGCACAGGTCCTCGTGTCTTTGCGTGGATTAAAGATTTAAAAATATTGTTTTTGAGATGACCCCCGACTCGAAATGCTTCACAGTACAATACATCATGACAAGGCCGGACACTTCGGTGCACCCAACCCGACTGCTTTGCCGATCGCTACGCTACTAGCGCATGCAATCTATTAAATCTGCAAAGTTGTGTCTTACGTTGCATGTGACCTTTAATGCAAACATAATCATGGATGGATGATGATGACACCTACCAATTCTTTTATTGTTATTTCTGCAAGTCGATTGAAACCCGATTTTGACCCTCAACTAAACGTTCTTGACACAAATCTTTAATCCTCGCAAGGACACGAAGGCCTGCGGTAGTAGGGGGTAATATGAAGTAAACAAATTAAATCGATATGTAAGGCGACGTATGGTATTTTATGTAATGAGTGTAGCGGCAGAATTTTCTAAAATATTTATCTCTTCACCGATGTCGTTCAAATTTGAAATATATGTTAATCATAACACATAAAAACAATATACTACTGCAAAAGTCTAGATTTTGATTTTTTTAAATTATTGTCCAAACAGTGATACGAGCCCCATGTCCCATCAATGCACTGTCAGACCTAATATAATGAGTGTGTTCCGTTCCTCTAGCTTTCAATCTCGTCACTAGCGTCACGATCACCATCACGCCGTCCAACGTGACCGCGTTTAGGGGTGATGACGTCACACTAGAGTGTGGAACTGGACGGCAGAAACCGGGAGAACTTGTCATCTGGAAAAAGGTATGGCCGTGCCTTTGTGTAATGTATAATAGGTAATTAATCGAAAGTCATTATCAACTTTATGACCGTGGGACATTTTTCGCAGCACAAGCCATGTATGGAATGCTGGAAGGGTCAATGTAGAGTAGTCGCACAGTTGGTTGGTTGGGTGGTTGGTTGGTTGACGCCGCACTCAGCAATATTCCAGCTATTAGATATGAATAATCGAGTCTAGACCAGACAACACAGTGATCAACAACATGAGCATCGATCTACGCAATTGGGATGCGATGACATGTGTCAACCAAGTCAGTGAGCCTGACCACCCGATCCCGTTAGTCGCCTCTTACGACAAGTTAGAAGATCAATTCTAACCCGGATCTTCACTGGTCTGAAGTCGCACATTCAAGAAGGGGCAACGATGCGACATGTGTTGACCTTGAAAATTGTCACCTTGTCTCACTATTGGGCTTTTGCTGAAAGATTTAAATATATATTATTCAAGACGCAGCAATTACTCAAAAGTACGCATTGTGGCAGTTTAAATAAGGGCAACACACGACAATGTCACTTTTCAGTTTATCAAGTGACCAAATATTTCTGTTTTCTAATTTGATGAGTTCTGTTTTCTACATTCAAGCTTTTTGCTGGAGCAAATCATCTTTGTAAAATATCCCTAACGCCAGTTATGAAAAAGTCAGTAGAAATAAGGTTGGGTAAGTATACTCAACAACAAAAGTTAAGGCCCACCCCAATATTCAACATGTAAGCATTATATGGATTATAATATGAACTATAAGATACTTTAACATTGAACATTGGGGTGGTTCTTAACTTTCTTGTTGAGTATATATAAACTGACGTACAAAAGAAAGTACACGTCTGGTGTTTTAGGATTATTTTCATAAGATATTGTAAAGGTTTTGAAACGTGTTTTGATTATGATTTACAAGTCACAAGCACTGTGTGCGTATTGCCAAGAAACCACAGTGCATTCTTTTGTGCGTCAGTTTAGAACGCTTTCTATGTAAATATTCATTAACACATGCACAAAGGTCACATATTTTGTATCAGTTTGTTTTGTCTATTATCCAGACAGCGTAGATCGATGCTCATGATGTTGATCACCGGATTGTCTGGTGCAATGTCGATTATTTACAGACTGCTGCCATATAGCTGGAATGTTGCTGAGTGCAGCGCAAAACTAAACTCACTCACTCACTCTTGGAATATTGCTCAGTGCAACAACAACAAACATAGATTGCCTCGTGAATAAAATAATTCCAATATGGCTTTCCCAGGGTTGAGGTGAGCCGACGTACTCTTTAACTTGTACAATGGACACCTTTTTCAGATTTCAGGCACCAACGAGCGAATTGCTTCAATCAACAACAGGTCGACAAACAGTTACAAGTTTTATATCAGGAACACCTACAACCTTGTCATTCGTGACGTCACGGTTATGGATGACGGGCTGTACCAATGTGACGCAGAAACAAATACGGCCACCGCGTACGTGTCTGTTTCAGGTTCGTCTTATTATGCTTTACTCATTTTACTGTGATATTACTGTCGCGACTCTTGTGGATTAAGAGGCACCTAAAAATTTCTGAAGAGCAATACTTGACATGACTTTAGAGCAATTTCGGTTTAAACAGGTTGTTTTTCACATTTTCGACCTTTCCTGTGGATGTCCTTGACCTTTATGGATTGTTAGATATTCCAGTTTTATCGCAGCTTGTGAGGAAGGTATGAACTGATGCAGGTTTTGACGTTTAGAACTATAGGTAAACCAAAGCCAGAGCAAGAGCATGTAGCAAGAGCTGATTAACTGGGATCAGATGGTTACGATCTGGGACATGGCTGTCAACCACACGTTGACCTTGTTCAGACAATTATTTACTGGCAACTGGTATTCCTGGAAAATTGTTGAGTGGGCATATAATCTGTGGCTTTGATGCAAGATAGAATCTAGCCAATATTTAAACAAATCTAAAATATTTTAGCATCATATTGATTAGTTTAGCTGACAAACGCTGTTAAAATGGACCAATCCGCCCAATAACGCGAGTTAACGTAAACAGTGTACAGATATAAAAGTTTCAGCGATGTGATTTTGGTTGTTAACTTGTTTCATTGTTTTCTGTCACAGTGCCGATGGAACGTCTTACCCTGACGTCTGATATGACGTCAGTATCGCCTAGTGACGGTGACGTTAACCTGACGTGTCGGTCTTGGCACAGCCATCCGCCTGCAGATCTCAGATGGTTCAAAGGACAACGAGAACTAAATGACATTACGACTGTTACTTCTAAGATATACCAAAGCGATGGTAAACCAGATTCGAATGTTCTCATTTTTAACACACAATAACTGCATGTTGAATTTATATTTGTTGTACTCTTTGTAAAAGTGGGTGCTGGAGTTTGAAGTAGCGTTCAAGTTTATTGTACTTCTATAGCAAGTGCGTGTGTGTACGAGGAGAGCAAGAGAGTGTGTATATGTGTCTCGTGTGCGTGGAACTTGTTCGTGCTTGCTTGCGTGATTGTTTGTTCTACTCCGGATTAATGTTTACGTTATAGATTTAGCCCACTGAGCCAACAATTTCACATGGCTAACCCCCTAGACACTACTTACCCCACAACATCTAACGCCTGGAGTAAAACAAAGGAAAATATTGGCAGTGGGATTCTCTCTTTGGAGACAAATATCTCTTTTTGTTTAACCTGACACAAACGTGGTTGTGTTTTTCATATCTTTTGCGTCTTTCAGTTACAAACGATATCACATGACGTTGCATGTTTTCATAAGGGACCATTCATCTCAATGGGCTCTCTGTGTGTGTGTGTGTGTGTGTTATGACTGTGTGTGTGTGTGAGTGATCTATGTGCAAAGTAAGTGACACCCACAATCCGTATCAAATTCGTTGCATGTTTTCACAAATTCATCTCTCTCTCTCTCTCTCTCTCTCTCTCTCTCTCTCTCTCTCTCTCTCTCTCTCTCTCCCTACCCCTCACCAAACCCACTGCTCGGTAACACACCAGAAGGAGCTGTATCAAAACCAGTGAAAGTAGAAAGGCTTGATTCATTTAAAAAAGAACGGAATGCTATTAGGAGGTTATATGGCCAAAATAAATTTCTCGCTTTGCGTGTTTTGAAAAAGCACATGGGTACTGAACATTCCCTTGTAATATCCAAACATCAGTCATGGTTATTGCTATATTCAGATTTGGGTTCATTTATGAAAAATATTAGTGGAAAATATAGACGTTTCTCTGTTAAAGATTCGACAGTATTCGTTTAGGAAATAAGTACTTGCTAGCAATTAGGCAAAAACGGAATGACGGTTTCGAACCTGTTTTTCTGGATGAAACGTGGGTGAATGCCAGCCACACCGTAGGTACCCAATGGGTTGCCAGTACATCAACAGAAACATGCGCACAAAAACTCCCACTTGGCAAGGCTGAGCGTTTGATTGTGAAAAACTCAGGGGTGGGGTTGCCTGGTTGTTCGCTTGTATTTTAATCAAAATCCAAAGATAGCCGTGACTATCACACCGAGATGACGGTGGGGTGTTTCAGAATAGCTACAAAAAACAGCTTGTTCCCGCCTTGCCTCCCAAAAGCTTAGTGGTCATGGACAATGCTCCGCAATCACAGTGCAGAGGACCCTGATACAAAACCCCAGTCTCAAACAGAAGAAAGGGGGATATGATGGCATGGCTTGAGAAAAATGGTTTGCCAATTCCATTAAACCTGTTTTCTACGGAATTATTAAGGCAAATAAAAATAACCCCGTGTATAAGGTTGACAAATACTTAAAGAGTCTTGGTCATGAAGTGCTTTGTCTTCCCCCCTACTATTATGACCTTAACCCCATAGAGCTAGCCTGGGGTATCATCAAGTCCGAAGTGGGAAGAAATAACACCACCTTCAAACTTGGTGAGAAACATGTACATCAATCCATCAGTAATATATCGCAAGAAACATGGCAGAGATGTGTTGAAAAAGTGGAAAAGGACATTGAAACTAAATACTAGCAAGAGTGGTTTAGACCATGCCACCATTAGACCAGTTATCGTCAGAGTGGACTCTGACATCAGTTGTTCAGAATCAGAGTTGGATCCCTCTAATGATGACTTTTGAAACGTCCCCGCCAAACGATTGCGGCCGTCTCCATCCTTTCTCGCGCACCTGGCTGTTCCTCTCTTGCACTCCTCCCTCGTAACACATAGTGAGTGAGTATGGTTTTACGCCGCTTTAAGCAATATGCCAGCAGTATCACAGCAGGGGACACCAGAAATGGGCCTCAACGTAACAAATAGTGAACTGTGTCAACATTTTAATGATAGTTTGTTAAACAACTGTTTTTTAGGACATAAATTCTGCAAAAAAAAACAGAATTGGTTTGATGTTTTGATTATGATCAGCGTTTCATTGAGTAGGCCCATTATATGTTTATTAGTTTTCGAGTTAGATTGCAATTCATCGGTCCGCTATTGAGCCCAACGGACTGTAAGCAGAGACCATATAATCTATTAAATGGTCTCTGCTGTAAGTAAGACCAAACCTGAAAACAGGATATTAATTTTGTTGGTTCTTGTTCAAACAAGTAAATTTGTCTCTTCCACCTTTAAAATTGATATTTTGTGAGTGGCGCATTAGTGTTTGTGAACTAAACACAAAGCAAATCACATTTCCAGGTTTCGGTGACTGTGAGAGCACAATCACTGTGCGCATGCGTAGCGGCGAGGGCGACATCCCGTTCCGGTGTGTGGCAGATCTTCCCGCCAAGACCGCCATCAAAGAGGTGTTTCTCTTCCCACGCGTTACCAGTATGTACTCCACGTTTTCATTGTAGGTTACGTGTAAGATGTGCTCAATAGAAAAGCGATCGCTTCCTTAAACCTCACCCATAAAGATTCAGCAGAAATATGTCCCTCGGAGGGGAATTGCTAGCCAACTGTGAGATCATTAGGGGTGACTATTGCCCGGGAAACAACTATTCCGATGGCGATAGTCTATTGCAACATACTGTTGCGATAGCAATAGTCTATATATTGCGACAAAATATTGCAATACTGTTGCAATAGTTTTTTCTCCTTGAATTGTCTCATTTGAAGTCATTTCCCAAATGAATGTATAATTTATATGGAATAAAAACAAGTTGAAGTAGTTTCAGTCTCTTTTAATAACTGACAAGAAACTTGAAACTCAGATCAAGCAAACAGTTAAAACATAAACTCAATGAAGTTGCAAGTCTCCAAATGAACGAATCTGGCACTTCCTGTATTTTGCGCTGCGCATTTATCAACGGAAGTCAATTGCTAAACTATTGATAGTCACACATACTATCGATGCATCGATAGTTTTTCGTTTCTATACATCGATCAGTTGCTATCGGAGACTCAGCAATTGCAATCCATCGATAGTTCGATGCATCGTTCAGCCCTAGCGATCATGCTTCAAACTAATATGAATACCCTATTCAGACATAGTATTTCCCCATAATACTGAACACTGAAACAGGCAAGCACCATCTTTTAACCTCTATAGTATGATATCGCAAAGGATGAACCAGCAAAGCACCGGTCACCGACGCTCTGTACATAAACTATTTTACTGATTATATTTTCATATGTACATCATGTCGGTATCTAGTGTATTTTGCCCCACTTTAAAGTCAGTCTTAGCATTTCCTTCACGTTGCTGCTTTTTTAATCGGTATCCAGACTTGATTTTGAAAAGACGGGATATAGCTGGAATATTGTAAATGTATTCGTTGAACAGCATTCATGCACTCAGTGATTCACTCCCGGTTGACAATATATAGAGGTTCGGATTAGCTCTGCTCAAACGAAACTCTCTCAATGCAATATTCGTGTATGACAATTTTTTTAAAGTTTCAGGCGGACTAGGAACTAAGAACAGCAAGTACCGCCACTTGCTTTGGATAACGGCGGTGCTGTCACTGATGAACTTGCTACTGACGAACATGCACCCACTATAACCCATACAGAAAGAAGGTTCATAGATTTTCTTGAATGGTCAAAGTACAGTCACGCCAACTGTCAGTCATTGTGCACAGAGGTACCAACATGGACTACGGGCCCCGTCTCTCATATCGCAATACAAAGACGCGCATATATGGAGACTGGAACCGGCCTATAACTGTGCACATTTCTCTCGCCAGTAATATCAGTAATGTATTTTGATTCTACGCCCTTTTGTTATAGAATCAGCATCAGTACGAAAGTATGGTAACTAATTGGTCCAAGATAATTATCACTGAGGGTGAAACGGTATATCGCGGTATTAGTAGAACCGAGGTATTTTGATTCGGTTCGGTATACCGTAATGCAATAAAAAATCGGTTTTCGTACCTTCATTTTATTAACCTTTTTAAACCTTTTCTAAAATGTCTAAAAATCGACTAATTTTGTCAAAATCTATGCATTTCTTTGCTGGACGGCCGCTATATTCCCGGAAGTAAGTTATCATATACCGAACCGAAACGGACCGAACCGAAGGCCTTGTACCGCAATACGTGCCGTACTTGGGTAAGAGCGTACCGTTTCACCCTTATGATTCATAATACAATGAAGATATAATACAGCTGATATATCGAGGATGCACGACAATGCTCCGGGGTGCGTTGCCAATTTCCTGAATAGATGTTGTATAGCCTAACTAAAAGAAGACATTATAATTGTGTGAAGACTGTATTTATATCCGAACCGCCAGCCTATCGGCACTTAGAATATTGATATACGATGGCATAACTATTAAGAATGATAATGTTATTAGCAGATATATTTGTATTAATGGTTCTAATAGCCGAATAAAGGTCTTATAGATTCTCCTTGTAGTCTTGATGTTTAATAATTCAAAATTACTTTTAAACAACTCATTGAGTCCCATGTTTACATCATCCACCATCGGTGTGAGTTGGAAATGGATCAATGATTGGGTGAATGTTGGTTACACCGCAGGTCGTAACATTTTGTCAGATAAACCTGTAATTGATCAAAGCTGGACAGGACCGACGAAACATTTGAGACTCAAATTATAAATTACGATGAGTGAACGAATGGGTCCCTGATTCAGTCGACTTGAGGAATATTTTCTTGCCCTGAATCCCAGTGCGATTAATAGATCATAAACTTTAACCCGGAAGGAATTACGGAATTAACTTCCCAAGGGAATCAAAGTTGTAAATTCCGTGCTTTGGCCAGGGATTGATAATCCGCTTTTCCAAGTTGCGATTACCTGGAGGGTTTGGGGGTTTATTTAGAAAATGTGGGTTTCGCCAGTACAAACACACTTTGCCTTTTCTGAAACATCACATCACATCGTTTTTGAGATCATGAACAATGGATGCAACAACTAATTACAATGAGATCACATGACTTCACGTTGCTGCGGGACTTTTCGCAAACATCTGAAACAACTAGAACATTCAAGCCTATCAGCTTGAAGTAAATGTGACGTGTATTTCGTAAGAGTTACTGAAAATATTTTCACCTTCAAATATCTCTTTTGGGTAATATGGTGCAATATTTCACTGCCAAAGCATTTGTGTCATATATTTAACAAACACACATTACAGGGTTTGAAATCGTTAAAGAATCCTCATCACTGGGTATCTGAGTCTGCCTCTAATCCCGCTTTGCCTGACGTGGTGGATATTTTACGGCTCTTCTAAAAGCGGAGTTTGTTAATAACAGTAGTTCTTCACTAAAGTCAATCCATCCTCGATAATCTCCAGGGTATACGTTACGATCACTCTCCACTATACCCTGGATGCATCCACGGCTTGAGGGGCGATGATTTTATTACCTCCCTTGGCTGGCTCCGCATTCTCACAGTAGCCAATCAGCTAAGCCGCCGTTACAACCGAGCTTGCCAGTGTCAACACAGATAGCGGTCGCAGTCGCAAAGGTTTGTTCGCAGTGCCACTCAGAATTTTGGGGAAATGATAAAGACAAATTCACAGATGTGAAACTTTAAAAAGAATATATGAAAGAACTCCTTCTACTTCTTTCAAAGTACATCTGCATCAATTGTGTTGCCAAGTTTAAACGGTTAGATAATTTAAGACGCGAAAGTGAGTAGTGATTGGTACGCTCAACTTCCCAGCGTAGGCACCTGACTGGATAAAAAGCCAGCCAAGGGAGGTAATAAAATCATCGCCCCAAGCCGTGGATGCATCCAGGGTAAAGTGGAGAGTGTGCGTAACGTATACCCTGGAGATTATCGAGGATGAAGTCAATCATACTCAAACACTATCACAACACTAGCTTTATGACTCACTGTGACCCAGGAATCTCTTGACAAAAAGATTCCTGGCACATGTGAGTTGGTTGATAGGGGTGAGGGGTGCAGTGTGGGTAGTGTCATATCATAAGGGATTGATTTGTTTTCTTCACTGGCAGTGAATGCTCCACAATAAAATGAACACAACACTTTTTTTCTTTAACATGTTTGTATTTCCACATTTAACGCATATGTACAAGGAAACAATACCGACTTAAGTCTTTCTCTAGTATTTGCAGTATGCTTTAAGATGACAAATGCAGCACTTGACCATGGACGTTTGTATACCATGGCCTCTGTATACACATCCTCCACACAAAGAAACTGGCAACTAACACACTTTTACATCAACAGTCAATCTTGCCCTCAGGGTTTGGTCTTTCTGTAAAGTAAGATTTCCGGTAGTCATAGAATCCCTTCTGTCTGCGTTCTTTCCTCGGAAATATGGAGAAGTCGTACATGTAGACGGTCTTGGCTGTCAAACCAACGACTGCAATTAATATGCCAACACCCCATCCCACTTTCTGGCTCTGGACTGAAAGAAATAAAAACAGGAAGACCTAATGGATGGTGACCATGAGAAGAACTACGTGAAACAAATCAACCAAGTAAATAGAAAATTGCAATCAACCAAATCAATCCTTCAGTCATCAACCAAGACAATCAACCAGGCCCCGATTTCTCGAAACAAACTTAAGTTTTTACTCAAAGTTCAAACTGAGTTTGACAATTTTAAACAGCTGAAATGTTAACCCAACTGCATATTTTAAAATAAAAAGGCCCAAACAACTTAAGTAATCTATCCACCAAACTCAAATTGTCTACTATGTGTGAGTTTAATATCAATTTAAGTTCATTCTGGGAAATGCATTTTCTCAAATTTGAGTAAAAACTCTAACTTAAGTCAAAATTCAGACTTAAGTTTGTTTCGAGAAATCAGGGCCTGGTCATCAGTCAAGTCAATCAACTAAATCACAAAGCCTGACCTCCCGATCTATTTGATCCCCTCTTGCTGCCATCTTGTGTTGCAGGGGACCTCTTCCCAGTCCCTACAACTTCAAGGTATCAGCTATTTGTCCCCCAGGCCCTCAAACAAAGTATCAGGGCAAGTAAAGGAGGCAACTTCAGCTGATTAAGATTACTATAGAGACTGATACATCCGATCTGCTGCTATGTTATGGCACTTTAGTAAAACAAGAGGACTACAACTTAATAAAGAGGGTTGCCACGATGAAGATCCGGGTTAGAATTGATCTTCAGCAACCCAGAAAAGGTGACAAACAAGATCAAGTGGTCAGACATGCTGACTTGGTTGACACGGCATTGTATCCCATTTGCGTATATTGATGCTCATGATGTTGATCACTGGACTGTCTAGTCCAGACTTGATTATTTACAGACCACTGAAATATATCTAGAATATTGCTGAATGTGGCGTTAAACATCAAAGAAACAAACAAGGGTAGTACGAAATACTCACATTTGACTCCATAGATGCTTCCTGCAGCCAAGCCTCCTAAGATATGATTCAGTGGGCCATCTTTGCCTCGCACCTTCCCTGTGATGCACGAAACCGCTGTGTAGGTTCCTCCAACAGCCGCTGTTATAAGAGAATATAACAAGTGATGTTAGTGTTAAAGAAATCCACAAATTATTCTTACATATCTACAGGGATGAGAATCCTTTTCGAAAATCAAACACTGAAAGGTTGTTGGGGTCTGGTGGACGACACAGTCATAATAATCTGTGAGTATATTCTAATTTCAAGTGTCATCAAAATTACCCAGCCATAATTAAATCCATAGAGGATTTTCATCCATGTATCCAGAAATTAAATTTGGCATTCAAAGAGGCCAATGCTTCACTCATGATCTACATCAATAAGTTCAAATGCTGTTTAAACTCCCAATCTGCACAAAACAAATCGAGGTTGTGATTGTAACATTCCATACACTTCGAGACTCATTTACTATCCCAGATAAAGACCTGACTATCATCTTGCTTCATAATGATACAGCAGTGTTCTAACTAAACAGACCGTCACCATATAGCTGTAATATTGCTAAGTGTGGCGTAAAACTAAACTCACTCACTAACTCTAAACTACTACAGGGGTGGAAATAACCCATTGCCCGACGCCCGAGTCCAGTGTTTTTTTCTGTCGGGCAAGCAAATTTGTATATCACACTGTACCGGTGTCCAGTTGACTTTCCAATGTTATTTATGTTGTTTATTTTAAAAAATCAACAAGAAAACGGCCGGTATAGTGGAAAAATTATCAGGGCAAGTGATTTTACATGTGCCACTGTTCCGGAGTACACTAGCAATCTTAAAGTTATTTCCACCCCTGTACTATAGGATACCTTCAGATATGCTGCCAAAGTACTTGAGCCTTGGGACACCCTAAAACCCATGACTTTTATGTTTGACTTCAAGCATTGATACAGCCCGAAACAATTATCATGAAAGGCAAAATCACAAGGCTAATAAACTTTGAGCATGTGTTTGTTCTGTATCACCAAGTGATGTAGATATTGGACATATCTCCAAAGACCTAGTCACTGTGAGAAGAATGTTACAATGATTAATCGTTAAAATTATCATAATACATACCCATTGGAAATAAATGAAAAGCCCATCTTCCAAGACCATTTGCAAGAGTACTTGCTCCACTGTAACCCATGATGTCATAGGAGGCTATGATGGAACCTGAAACATGCAAAGTTGATTCTCAATAGATATCACAGAACTAACTTTGATAAAAATGGAAAATTATCTTAAAGAAATCAACATATTTCTTGTCAGTGGTCAGTCAAGTCAAGTGTTTATTCTCTATGAAGGCAACAGGCCAATATACAGTATTGATTTACAAAGACTTTGGTACGAAGCTTTTAAATCTTTGCTTTACGTACAATCTGTATATGTTTAATGGTAGAGCAAAGGATGACACAATCGGTAACTACACGTACATATTTGAACAAGTATCCAGTGCCAGTGTCTACTTTGACAGTCATGTCAATGGTGAGCATGGTGAGTGATAGCCGAGAGCCGCGATGCGTCCTATACAGTCCTATACAGTCAAGACAGGGTCAGGTGAGTGACACATTGTGGTGGTGCACTAATGATATGATATGTGTAAATAATCATTGTACATCTTCTGAATAGCTTACATGGTTAGTTAATGGATCATACTGTCATTAAGATACTAAAACCGTCAATCGTCATTATATTCAATGCATTTCATAATGTAAACACGTTGATAATCACTGCTAAAATTGTACAAAATATAACCCCTCTGTCTCAATGCAAACACGAGTACTGATGACTAACTATGGTAAATATGTGTGAGACTGTTCCGGTAACTAACGTACTGTAAACAATGGTAAAGTTGCATAGGGCTAGAAGTAGAAGCGATGTTGCACCGACACAGTCGGCGACTGTAAAGTTTGAACTCATTTTTCAAACCAACCTGAAATGGCACCGTATGTAGTGCCCCAGAAAACCTTCTTTTCGCATTCTTTTCCATCGGGCACACTGAAAATGTTGTAAAAGCGTTTGCGGCGCTGATCGTCAGGTTCAGAACTCGCCATTTCAGCTTATGTCTCTGTGCCCTTGCTCTCTGTTCGGCTATGGCTGAAACCGGAAGGACGAACAGGTCAAACGGGCGTTCGATTGGCTGAACCGGTTTCGGTTGCAAACGCATCGCGAGACAAAACCTTCGAACATTATATTTTAAGGCCTCTGTCAGATTTTCGGTTATTTTCATTCAAACAATATCTTTATAACATATGTTTACAATATAAATTGCAATTTATATACATAGTTTGATAATATCGGTGGAATTAGTATATAATTAGATTTAGATTGGTAAATTTTACAACTTATTAGGGACCGTTCATAATTTATGGCTAGGGGGTGGTGATGATGATTTTGAGGGGGGAGGGGTCACCCATTTTGTTCTGGGGAGATATTGGTGTCAGCAATTATTTGAAAAATATTTTAAAATTATGCTTTAAAATTATGGGAAGGGGAGGGGGTCATTGATTTTGTACATGACATGCAGGGGGATTCACATACTTTGTACATAAATTTTAGGGGGGAGGGCATTCACATTGTACATGCTTCTCCATAAAAATCATCATCACTCCCACTAGCCATAAATTATGAACGGCCCCTTATACGATTTGGTAGATCTAGGAATATGAACACAAAATCGAGATATAGTCATTTCACATCGTACTAAGGGATTCAGCTCAGACAGTTTTAGAAAAAGTAGAAAATGGATTCATGCCGTCCACACACCACCGTCTTTCTGCTTACACACGCACTTTCTATATGATATAGATTTTACGCACATCCTATAATGTAGAACAAGACGAGATAAGGCAATTTATTCAGTTGAGAAGCCTTTACCCCTTATGCAAACATATGGGAGTTGCATATCTAAGCGCTACAATCTACAGATACTAGGAGAATGAACTTCGATCATTAATGAGTATATTGTTTTGGCTTTCTCTCATTCTTTTTTTATTTCGTATGAGGTAGACAAAACCATGCACACACACACACGCACGCACACACACACACACACATCATTCGTAGTGTTCTTAAAATCGTACCAGTGAATAACCGGGTCAGAATCGCCAGATGGTTCTTCAACAACCTATGTTTGTTTTTGTGTTGTAAGAGGCGACAAATGGGATCAGGTGGCCAATTTAAGTTCGCTGACTTGGTTGAAGCAGATCGATGCTCATGATGTTAATCACTTGAATGTGATGAAATGGAAAATTACTGAAAATCGAACCGTTTTAGTGCTTTTAAACTTATTGCTTGTCCTTTACACATTAAACGGATATAAACAAAGATCATGCATTGTTTGTATGCCACTACTGTTCACTATACTAATGATGTAGATGTATCGGTCTGTATGTATAAAGTTGTAAATCACAAAAAAATCGTATTGATGAGGATGGGTTAACAATATTGCATGGATGCCAAAAGATTCCGTATTTCATTAGAAACTCACAAACACGACCTTTCAAACAATCAAAACAATTACAAATTTTATTTGTGATGAATATCAACTGGTTATAACGTTTTAAAAGATGTTACACGCTTATACTATTGACGTAGTGGCAGCAATTGCTCTTGGCAAATAAGAAATCCAGTTTAAATACTTCCCCTTATTCCACAGAGACAAACATTTGAAACATGGCACACATAGACTGAAAATTGACACCAGACAGTTGAGCCACGCCCCCAATCTGTAGCGAATCCCTACACAGTTCATTGTTAAGTTTGTTGGTTTCTTAGTTTAGTTTGTTGTCGCACTCAGAAATATTCAAGCTATATGGCGGCGGTCTGTAAATAATCGAGTCGAGACCAGACAATCTAGTGATCAACATAATGAACATCGACCTACGCAATTGGGATACAATGACATGTGTCAACCAAATAAGCGAGCCTGACCACTCGATCCCTTAAGTCGTCTCTTTCGACAAGGCTGGGTTGCTGAAAAACAATTTTAGCCCGGATCTTCACGAGTGCATTGCTAAGTATAAGGCCACATATACACATTTTCTTGCTTCTCACTACTACCGCCCGACCCTATGATATGTTTTATCATTTTAACGCTAGAGACAATCAGCTTGGCTCGCAAAATGTGCATGAAAATTTGACACTTCTAAGTTTTGATTTTTCATCAGAGAAAAGGAAATGTGTAAACTACCACACAAATCAAGGGGTTTATTTATCATAAAATAACCCCAAAAGTAAAAATAAAATCCGCCAGCCAGACCAATATTATTTTGAAAAAGTAATGAGAAACAAGAATATTTTTATGTGGACAAACAGCTCGGTTCACCACAAGCCCTGTTTGGAGGATAACACTTCCCACAACCAATTACGTATTTGCACGGCAAAAGAGCTTTATTTCTTGCTCCACAACGTATGGTTTTCCAATGTTAAAATACGCGTAGGAACTATGTGAAAAAAATCTAACGCTTTCGGTTCTTAAATTACATTTAGCGGTCTTAAATCAACGTTAAAGGACCGCAAAGTTGAAAACAGAGTAGCTTTATCTTCTAATTTAAAAATGTGATAAAAACACATCAGCCGCCAATATTTCAGATTTTTTTAAATATTTCATATCTTTTTATTATAGTTCCAGAGGTTGTTACTTTATTAATTTATTTTTCTGAAGGAGAAAGTTTATTTTTAACCTGTATAATTGTCCTGAAACTTGGAGGAAATCGTAGTAAGGGGGTTGGGTAATAGGGGATATATTGACAGAGTTCAAGGGTCAAGGATTTTCATCCCGGGCCCATGTCAATGAAAGGACATTAATTTCTATGCACCATGAATATAGCCATGATAAACAGTACATACTAAACAGTAAGAATTTATTATAATTTTATAAGGGTTCACGCGATCACCCCTCTCTATCCAACTGACTCTAGGTTAGAACAGGTCAGTCATTGGGAATGAGAGGGACGATAAGAAGAACCGATCATAAGAAATCTATATCAACTGCCGGGGAAAAGTGTGTATTCACCCATGTTTTATATAGCTAAATTAAACAAAACGATGGTCATGTTGAATCGTTGATGCATTCTTTAAGAGTATTATAGTTGTATTTTGGATCTAAGTGTTTTGGTCACTGATTGCTTTTTCTACTAGCGTTTCATAAGGTGGTCAAATGTAATATTTGCGTGTATAATTCCTTTTGCCTGACAGTTTATATAATTTCTCATCCTCACACGACCCCACAAAAGTACCCTACTTTAAAAATGTTTGTCATTTCTTTTTGTGCTTTTGATGTTACTGTCATACTGTGGTACGCAATTAGAAACTTCTCATGAGTTGGCCCCTTAACTGTTTGAAGCTGGGCCCCGTCTCGCATATCGCAATATACGCCTAGCTTTGTCGAACGTTAGCGCGCGCAAAGGGAGCCGGGAACCAGCTTAAAAAATACTATGCTCCACACAACGCGCCACATTCCATTCGTCACCACTCGCCCCTTTCCGTAAACTCCAAGAAGATTCGGCTTGTCCCGGAATAACACGAGTTGGTCACGAATGGAATATGGTCACATTCGTGACCAACTCGTGTTATTCCGGGACAAGCCGAGTTTACGGAAAGGGGCGAGTGGTGACGAATGAGTAGGTATTGCTGTAAGGAGTTTGCGCGCAAACAAATTGGATGATTCGTCAACAAACGATTGGTGTGAGTGTACACTTAGTGAATTTTCGTAATGGCATAACAAATTTACATCAGTATAACCTATTATAGGTAAGACTTTGCTTTTATTAGAGACATATGCATTCGATACACGCAACTGTCACCCGCTAATATTGAGCCGACTGTGTTTTGACGAGCTTTTTAGTTTTACTGCAACGCTGCTGCTAGACGAGTGTTTTCGCTTTTGAATTGATTTTTAAGTCTGTTCTGCTACACCCGGAAGTATTTTCCAGCGGTTATTATTTCCTCCAAGTAAGTAAATATACGTATCATGGAACACTCTAGATCTATTATCGCGGTAGTTAATGTTGTCTCCATCGGGATTATGAACGGCTACTGATATTTAGCATTATATATATATTTTCAGTTGACTGTCAAATAATGTGACACATAGTCGCAACTCGTTTAATACCATTGCGGAAATTCTGATTGTCTCGTTTGACCCAGAAATTGAAGCTTTATTATCGCGGTATTGCTATTTTTTCACGATGGCACGTTGTACAAGCAGATGACACCGTGAAACGTTTAGCTGAGACAAGTAACGAATCTAAATAGTTTGATCATTAAAAAATATTTAGGAATTTCATTCGCGATAGTAATATCATCATGTTTTTAACCCAAACATCTGAAACTTCTATTCATTTGGATACAAGGTAACAATAACCCTATAACTACTGTTTTTTTCCGCCTTAAAACGTACCATACAAGTTGCTGCCGTGTGTAGAGTGAAATTGCATAATACGTCACTTCGTGTTATGTGTATCATAAGAGTTAAGAGTTACTAAAATGCAGCTGGCCCCTTATTAGGTGCTGCCTTAGAGCATATTTTAGTGGTATACAGAGTCGTTATAAAATTTTGTTATGTCCAAGATATCATTAAGAGTCATTGTCAGGTTTAGCTGAGAGTTGCGATGAGGTCCTATACAGTCAAAACCTACGTTTTATAAGTGAGATGTTTTTCATTTGTTTATGGGATTAATGAGAAACAACGAATGTTTCTTATGCATTTGAAAACCCATCACACAAGGATACTTAAAGTAATGCTCGTCAGTCAATGAATGTTTTTATTTTTGTTAAATATTTATTTCTTTTCAATGAATATATTCAATTGGTACTAAATTTTTCTATTTATTTACAGTTGCAAGCTTTTGGGCAGTTACACCACACAGAGCCACCATCCAGTAGGAAGATTGTTTTCTACCCTGTCTAACAAGATGGCAGGAACAACTCTTTCTCTACTTTTCAGCTTGTCAGCTGTCTTCATTGTGGCCACATTTGGTAAGTATCCATTACTAATAATCATTTCATGTATGTCCTCAATGAAAATGGAAAGTTAGGCCTACTTTGGGTACATATCTCATATACTCTAAACATGATTACAAGGAAAAGCTATTCAATGCTAATCATATGATTATTCAGAAAAATGTGGAAACAACAGTGGAATAAATATGATAGTACTGTAGTGTTTATGATGATAATCAAAATACATTTTCCAGGTGCACAGAGTGACCGAGTGTTATTGCGTGAAATTTCTGCCATAACACTGAGACATGGTATGCAAACAAATGCCCGCAGATCATCATCTGTCCCACAGGTCAGTACAATAACTTAATTTCAATAGATATTGATATCCAAAGACGTAGTGAAAGCAGGGCAGAAAGTCAGTCCCTTAACTTTAGTGTTTCACTTCATGGCATGAGGACCGCCTCCGTGGTGTAGCGGTTAGAGCGCCGATCCCCGACCGCGTCATACCAGAAGACGTTAAAATATGGTACTTGTTGGTCCCTGCCTGGCGCTCGGCATTAATTGGTACAACAAGGACTGGTCGGCTCGGAGTCAGTATAATGTGTCTGAGTGGGGTATTCATGCTTCACTGCGTCATGGTATCTCCAGTGGGCTAGCACTATAAAGCCAGCTTCAGTCTGGGCTAGTACAAGCAGATACACATACACACGGATGCACGTCGTCATATGAGTGAAATATTCTCAAGTATGACGTTAAACCCAATTTCACCTCAACTTACCTCACGGAATGAGGGGCGATGGGGTAGCCTAGTGGTTAAAGTGTTTGCTTGTCACTCCAAAGACTCAGGATCAATTTCCCACATGGGTACAATGTGTGAAGTCCATTTCTGGTGTCCCCTGTTGTGATATTGCTGGAATATTGCTAAAAGTGGTGTAAACTCACTCACTTACTCAGTTCATGGAATACACATTGATGCCATGACTGGACTGAAATGCTATTCAAAGTCGTTTAAACATGTTAATCATGTCAGCATTCATAACCCCAACATTTGAACTGTTATTACATCTATATAACTGATAACTAGTCATCAACAAAACATATCTGAAATAGACAACAAAGAAATTGTTAACATAGTTACAGGTAGTGCTTGAAAGATTGATCGAATAATCAGTCAACTGATCGACTTGCTTGTGGCAGCAATTATCAATGGGTTCAGGAGACTTATCAATATTCATTAAAATAAAGCATCAAATTTAACTCTTGAAAGTACGTTTCTTATTGTTGTGTTTGTTAGAAAGTTTCCTGAGTCGTAAAATTGCAATTTAACAACAGATTAGCAGGCATGTCTCAACAGGAAGTATCCTCCACAGAGTTATGATTATGTTCTCTTATTACCCACATGAGGTTTGTGGTTGGGTTTACGATTAAAATTGATTATTGATTGATTACTCAGCTCTGATTATATATCTGCAATTTTACGTTATCCTGAATCATATGCTGTAGCAATTATTATGAGTCAAGATAAGTATAAATTATATTTTTATATTCTTCCCCCCCCCCCCCCGAAAAAAATTGTTATAAGCAATAACGTGCAATAGTTACAGGCAAATTGCCTTACACAAAGGTGTATGTGATTGTCACTGTAAACAAGAGTTGCTTCTATATATTGCATGTATATTTTCAGGTGAAATGTGTTGGGGGATCAGCTGGTTGTCACGCCTTCGTCCCACAGGTGGTTCAGTGTCAAAACCGTGGTTTTGATGGCTACGATGTTCAGGTGAGACTTGCATTAGTTACAATGTGTCCGTCAATAGTCAGCAACACCTGACACAGAGCCCATTAGCTACACTGAGTAGACTGACGCAGGCACTGTTTGTGACAACAGGATATGAATGCTGGTTATTGATTATGGAAGCCTGTTAAGGAAATGTGTTACAGTCGCGATTATGTTGGTATATTACCATGATTACTGGGAGAGAGGAGATGTGTGTTGACCAGCGCACGTTTAATGGAATAAGATGTTTATCATGAGGACAAGAACATCATCTTCCGATTCGGTAGACCCCATCAGAGAAATGAATAAATCCAACAATTATGTTTTCAGCTATTTCGAGCTACAGTTTTTAGAAACAAGTCAGTCTTAAAGTAATGGTAGGCAGGGTTATAATATCAGTTACCTTGGTCTATCTTGGGGATGTAACAGAAATAGATTTTTGTGTTCGAGGCTTGAACATGGGGATCTCTGGAGCACAATTCTCTTAATTTCATTAATTGTGCTGATGTTATTTAATTGTCTGTCTCTATCTCCCATTCTCTGTGTGTTTGGAGGACATGTAAGATTGCTGAGCAGACAAAGATGACGTCCTCCTTACCACTGAGTTTGTATTACATTGAGTTGGTCGTATTATGGACATAATAATATTATAAATCATTCATATAGCCTTGTGCTCTCAATCTCATATCCAGTAGGATTTTCCAAGTACATACTATAATAAGAAGTTATGGTCAGTTACTGGACTACAAGTCACAATGCCTCCTGAGAGAGCAAGGACTGAGTTAACTCTAGATATAACTCTATATAAACATACATTTCACTGTGTTGGTTTAATTTTGTCTGTGTGTGGTTTAATTTTGGATTGAGTTTCTAAAAACTCCCTCTAAACCAACATTTTCACCGGTCCTGAGTGATGTCGGTTTAGAGAGAGTCCACTGTAAATCATGTTTTTGATCAGTAAAACCCTGGTTTGCAAAGTTTGTACAGAAATACCAAAAAACAATTAGTACACATATCAACCTAGTTATAAGATTGGACCATTTGTCATTTAAAGAAAAGGATTGCATGGTTCACAGCTAGTTAATGGTTGTAGACTTACCTCAGATCCTGTTTATTTGTTTAGTGTTTTTGTATAATAGACTCTGCATTGGAACAGGAAACTGAAAGTTCATACAGATTGTGTTGTAGCTTTAACCTTTTTGGGGGTATTCACGGAATATTTTTGTTTGTTTATAGTGGGAGTGCAAGACTGATATGGACAATGCCTATCGCTTTGGCCAAGTCGAGGTGTCCTGTGAAGGGTTCGACTATCCCGATGACCCCTACGTCCTCAGGGGATCCTGTGGGGTAAGTGATAAATTCACCTCAGGCATGACCTCTTTTCATTATGAGTGTTGAAATTACTGATAGATTAATGACTCATTATTAGGCCAATCCTTTCCGATGTCATATATCTGTCAAATCAGTTTTAAGTGACCTGCATAATTGAGGAAGTTTATCATATCGTCTGTTGGAGCTATTGTGATGTAAGGAAAATTATCATCATATCTGATTCAAAGACTATTTTGCATAAAAGGCAACTGATGTCATTGAGTGATAGGGCTTGCTGACTTGGTTAATAATGTCATTTTATCCCCATTGCTTGGGTGAATGCTCATGTTGTCAATCACTGGATTGTTTGGTCCAGAACTGATTATTAAAAACCGATGTGATAAAGCTGGAATGTTGCCAAGGATGTCATTAAACAAGAAACAACCAAATACTTGATAAGCTGTTTAGAGCTGAGTTTGTGTGCAAGTTGTCTCCCATCTACACATGCTGGAGACCTGACTGTCTGAAAACATGTTGATGTCAGTGACCCCAGCTATTGTTTCCATGGCAATAATATTGAAATAGCTTCCTTACGAGAATTTAACTTATCCCCAGCCAGGGCTCCAAATAATTTTTCAACATCAGGAGTAGGTACTCCTTATTTTTTCAATACAGGAGCACTGGAAAACCTTAAGAGTACGTTTAGAGTACTGAATGGAACTTAATGGAGTATCAGTAATCTTGAGTTTCGTTTCATATATGCACCACAACATTGCTACTCTTGTGTAAACAGGTCAATAAACAATAAAACAATAATTTTTCAGATAAATATGTCTGTAAATGATTCTAAGACTGTACACCATTGCTGTGGTGCGTATCTGCTACGTTTTCTAAATTATTTCCTACCGTATCGTGCATATTTTTTATCCATACATACGCGGATACCCCTGCCCAGCAACCTATGTTTTCAAAAGGGATCCAAATGGTTCCGACAGTCTGACACAATGACTTGGTTGATGACATGTTGTTATTCTCCAACAGCATGGATTGTATCTCATAATATCAATCACTGGATTGTTTACCTCCATGATTTCAGTGGAATGTTGCTGAATTCTACTTTTAACAACAAATGCAAACAAGTAATTAATAAAAACCTTTTGCTTTGTGTTAAAGCTGTAGTTATAAGGACATATGGCACTGGTATACTATCAGATCATTAGAAAAATTAAAGTTATTGTTATTTAGCCAATTTGACCTTTATAGTTGGAGTACACCTTGGACCTCACAAAGGAAGGACATCAGCAGAAACATCACCATAGCAACCAGCACAACTATGGCGACGATTACCATGACCGTAGCTCCAACTACTACAGGTATGGAAACTGAGACCTTCAAGTTCCATGTCTAATACATCTGCGCATTATCACGAGTTTTGTACATAAAAATATTAAAAAATCATGCTTAAAAATTGGAAATGGCGTCATTGATTTTGTACTTGACATGCATTGGGTGGGGGGTGGGATGGGGGGTGTTTAAATTTTAGAGGGCTTCTCCATAAAAATCATCATTTCCCTGGCGTAAATTATGAACGGTGTCTTAGCAAGGTGTTAGACAACATGCACAAGGGAACACATATTCTGAAATGACAGAAGTTTGCTTAACTGGAATAATCAAGTTGCTCTTTGTGTTTACTCAGCAGCCACAAGACGCAGCACTCATCCTTTGGAGGTGTCATTGGCCTAGTTGCAGCTGGATTTGTCATTTATATGATCTACAAGATGTGTCTAGCTCCTCCAACCAATACCGCAGGTGCTCGGCCGGACCAGCCACCACCCTACACCCCCCCACGACAACAACCAGGCACCACCCCCAGGGTTCAAACCTGAGTTTACACCAGGAGCTGGTGAGTTGAATCGGGAGCACAGTGAATGAGTTTTTTTACGCCGTTTTTTAGCGATATTCCAACAATATTACGGCGGGGGACACCAGAAATGGGATTCAAACATTGTACCCATGTGGGGAATAGAACCCAGGTCCGCGGCGTGACGAGTGAACGCTCTAACCATTAGACTACCTCACCGCCCCTCAGATCATGAGTATAAATGCAGATAGGGCTAATAGAAGGGTGTGATTGCCCTGTTATCATGGGAATAATTCTGTTATCAACTTGTACTTGAGGTTATTGCCTTGCTCATGTTTGTCAGACATGTCAACTGAATGTAATGCTTCATGTCTGAGCAATTCATGTCTCCAGAGAAACGGCAGAAATTGTTCTTTGGGTATATGTTTTTTTATACACCAGACAGGCATATTTTCTATCTTCATGTATTTATGGTATTTATTCTGTTACTCACAGACTATGGTAATGCTGGCAACACAGGCAGCTATCCTAACACTGGTGGATATGCAAACACAGGGACGTATGCTAACAGAGGAGGATATGCAGGGACGTCTACCAACACTGGAGCTGGAAATGGCTTCGGAGGCTTCTGGACAGGAATGGGAGCTGGTGGATTACTGGGATACCTGTTCGGCAGCGGCAACAGTGGCTATGGCAACAGTGGCTATGGCAACCGAGGCTACACACATCGTCACCACAACACTGGGTCGTTCTGGGGTAACGGGGCTGGCGGATGGGGTGGGGGTGGGGGCAGTGGGTTCTCCAGTGGGTGGTCCTCTGGGAGATCCTCTGGGGGATCCTCTGGGGGGTCTTATTCTGGGGGCAGTAGCTCTGGAACCAGGACAGCCTCAGGGTTTGGAGGGACTAAGAGAAGGTAACTCATTCACAGAAACACTGAATGATGCAAATGCATGAAGGCAGATGATGGGTGAAAATATGCATTTCTTTGGCCCAAGTTCAACTTCAAACAATATTACTGCTATATAGGTTTGTGGATGTTGGGAGGGAGGGGGTGGGGGTATTTCTCCATTTACATCAAAGTGGATACAATTCCAGAAGTTTAAGGACCAAGGGGGTGTATTTGGTATCATGTACCATGTACTTATTCAATGAAGATGTTTCATTGGACAATGATGTTCTGATTAGGTGACCTTTCTTTCACGTACAATTTATTCAGTAGATGTGAGATCCCTGATTATTTATCATTTCTTATGCTAAAGAGGCTGAATGCCCAATGTGAAAGGCTAAAGGATTATATCAAGCCTTGAAATTCAAGCAGCTTTTTGTTTTCTTTTATTATTTAACATGTTACACTTTATTTAAGTCCCAAGTATGTTCAATATGCAGAAGATTTGGAAAAGCAAAACCTGATCAGCCTGATTTTCATTCTTTCAAAGATGTCAATGGGTTTGGGACTTTTAGTGATTTCATCTTTTTTCTTCAATTTGTGCAAATATTTTCCTTCTCATGTGATCATCACTTACCATATTTATCTGTGTATTTGTTTGTGATTAATATGGAGGTGAAGAAAATGAAAACAACTTTAGCAACTTTGTGTGCATTCCTGGATGACTATACAGGCGTGTTTGTTGCAAATCCAACATAAGAAAGTGGGATCTACACAAGATTTCTTTGTGAGATTTCTACACAAATATAGTCCAACCAGCAACTGTCAAGTTTGTTCTTGCCCAATTAAAATACCAATTTGAGAATTTGTTAGGGTTGTTTCCATGGTGACATATGTTTCCGTGTTCCTTTCTCCAAAAGGGGCATCGATTTGGTTTGAGCAGCGTATTTTACAAAGAGATTTGTGTGAACACTTCTATGTTTTGACTGATATACTCTTGGATGGATGTCTTGATGTACATTATCTAGTTTACATTTTAAATGAGAAGAATAAGTAACATATTTCATGTTAAATATTTGTTTGCCTTTATATCTTTCTTTCAACTGACAAGATAAGATAATGACAGAGTCATTTATCAAACTATCTTTAATGAATTTGTATCTGAAATCTCATAATGTCCGAAAAGTTTTTATAAATTTTGGACTAAATGTTTGATGGTTCCGTCATAACCAGCTGAAGTGTTACTATATTGTGTGAAGACATGGAATCTATAATTCTGGACTTTGGAAAAAAATATCATGGGATTCTAGAAAAGCAAAATTCATTTTCGAAAGGTAAAGCCTGTTTTTGTACTTATCTTTAAAAGCGATTCCCATGTCAAGTGTGTGTTTATATAGAATCACATACCTGATTATCCTTGTCCAGGATATTTTGTGTTCATAAAAGTTGTAAAGTACAACTGATTGTGATATTTGTCTGTATGTACCAAAAAAAATGTAAATATGTGAATCGATAATAAACATTATGTTTTTGAGTTGTGTTTCTAGGTTGTTAATGTCGCAGTTTAGTATCATTATATGTTGCTGCACAAACTGAATATGGTTGTTAAGTTGACACCAAATCACAGCTGTGGCAAGTCATGGGGTTGTGATGGTGTGTCCCTGTTGTATCAAAAGATGTTAAAAGACTGCAGTATATTACACAGTCTCTCGCTCAGAAAGAAGGGCATGAAAATGAAGTCTTTTAGGCTATGTGTGTAGTCATGTCATTGTATTCCAATTTTGTAGATCAATGCTCATGTTGTTGATCACTGGATTGTCTGGTCCAGACCGGATTATTTACAGCCCGCCGCCATATAGCTGGAATATTGCTGAGTGCAGGGTAAAACTAAACTTCACTCACTCACTTACTCAGGCTAGGTGTGGTATACCCCAGACTGGTAATCATGTTCAGCTGCAACAGATTTCTTTTCAAAACAGGCATTGTTCACCAGGCATATTCAACGTCCATGACAAGAAATGCACACTTTCGTTTCTTGAGACGAAGACACGGATTACATTCCCCAGATAGGTGCAGTGTGTGAAGCTCGGGTAGTTTTGGTGTGTTCATCAGTGTTGCGCAACCCTAAGTGCGCTACAATTTGCCTGTGGTCCAGCTGACATAACATGAATACAACACTACCCTTGTTAACCAAAAGGGGCATAGTCATTTTAGGTGCGCTTCGTGCAACTGACCGTCGAAGAAATCATTCCGACCGGAGTGGCAAAGGGTCTGTGAATGAATGATTCTTACAAACAGCCAACGTGCACAGCCAGAATAGGCTTCATACCATGTAATAATTTGGTGAATTGAACCATGGCCTTGTCATTGCCAGGCTTACCTCCAGCCGAAACACGGGCGGTGGGGTAGCCCAGTGGTTAAAGCCTCCGCTCGTCACGCCGAAGATCCTGGTTCGATTCCCCACATGGGAAAAATGTGTGAAGCCCATGTCTGGTGTCCCCCGCCGTGATGTTGCTGGAATATTGCTAAAGGCGGCATAAAACTAAACTCACTCACACGTGCTAAACATTCAAGAAAGTCAAACTGAAAGCAGTGTGGTAATGGAACTCCAATGAATATCTGCATTGACAACCTCACATCTCACTCTCAAATTGAAGAGATGACTGGTTGTCAATGCTTTTAGCAATATTCCAGCAACATCACGGCGGGGAAAGAAGGAACGTTCAATGAAACTGAATTCATTCCGCGTGTAGCAACAACCTATATGACACTGAAATAACGTTTGCTCATCTTGGCAAAACTTATGAAGTATTGTTGCTGCCTAAAATAACCATATTCGACTTGTGACATTTACTTGAAAAAGATGCATGCAGATATAGTAATTTATAAAACCCAAAATTGTCAGATATCACAGAGGCGTGCAACCAGACCTGTTGGTCTGTTCTTCGAAGTATTTTCATTTACATGTCAGTTAAATAAAATGCATAATCAAAATCGCACGCACAATGGTGGCAAGACACGATACGTTTGACCAGTTTTAACTTCATAATACCCACACTCTGTCGCACAGTCCCTGAACCACATTATTTTCCCTAATGCCTTGCCCTCCTTGCAATATTAAAGCCCTAAATGAAGCAAGTCTAGATTCCCCTAGGCTCTGAATCTCAAATCTCACTTCCATTTCAATTTAAATGAGTTTATTTGTTACTATCAAATGTATATGCATTCAGGACTAAGCGTTAGTCTAATACGCCCATTGCAAGATCAAATTTCCTTTGTGCTCTTGCGTTGTCATCGTGAAACACAAAACGTCGTCCACGTGTGTGTCCAGGATGTTGTCACGGTAGTACCACCAAACGGCACGTCCGTGAATACCCGTGAATGTCCGGGTTCAGTAACCCATGCTTGTCGTATGAGGCGACTAACGGGATCGGGTGGTCAGGCTCGCTGGCTTGGTTGACACATGTCATCGGTTCCCATTTGCGCAGATCGATGCTCATGCTGTTGATCACTGGATTGTCTGGTCCAGACTCGATTATTTACAGACCGCTGCCATATAGCTGGAATATTGCTGAGTTTGGCGTAAAACTAAACTCACTCACTCACGACCGTGAATAACAAGTAAAGGTGTCATTCAAAGTGATCCCGCCCCACACCATCACTGAGCGAACCCTAAAACGATCACCTGTCTAAAGTTAATGCATGTAAACACTCATTCCAGTTGCACCTGTCAGGAAGGTGCAAACTAAACCTCCGATAAAAACAAACCTAAGGGACCGTTCATAATTTATGGCTAGGGGGTGGGGGGATGATGATTTTTATGGAGAAGCATGTACAATGTGAACGACCCCCTACAAATTTATGTACTTACACGAAAAGTTGGTGACCACACCCCACACAATGGCCTGCATGTCACGTATAGAGATCAATGACCCTCCCTTCCCATGAAATTTGTTAAATGACCATTGAAACGCGTGTGAAAATGAAGTGTGCACCCTCCTTTTCTCAATAGTGTGCACTGCACCACCACCCCCGTTCCTTTCTCAAAGGCCGCATCCGCCCTGGATGGTCCGTCGATCTTTGGGTAACGCGTAGACGTCTGGGCATGCTGGTTGAATCGTCTGTCCGCTCGAACACCTGTAGTTCTGTGAAGCTCATCACCAGTTACAAGAGGCACTTTGACCATGGTTTCGTAACAATCGTTCTAATGAAACGGCCTTGTGCGCCAGATCAGTCTGTCATCAACGTTATTTGTCTGTCCATGTCATGATTGTAATCTGTTAATTATTGACTGTGAAACGTTAAGAGCCCGTGCCACAATGCTCCGTTTTGTTCCATCATGAGACATTGCACTTAGCCGTTCCTCACGTACAGACTGCTATATGTAAAAAGGAGACGTTCAATTGAGTTTTAAATAATATCAGTACAACTTTCAGTTGAATTTTACCCCGGCGATGTTGACGTGCACATCACGAAAACGCTTGCCCGAAATCGGGCTGTTTGCACGAACGTCACATGTTGGGGATGGAATAGTCATTTTCAAAGCGAGGCGTAGCTACAGTCATGGGGCATAAGTATTCGTCAGTCGGCAAAATTCTCAGAGACTTGCATGTTATTTTAGTGTAGCTGTAATAATTTTCATTAATTCAGTTTTCGTTATTTGGTTGTCACATTTTGCAGGTTGATAGGAAATCATCTTGGTCACAGATACATAATTTCCATGTAACGTTCCTTTAAGTATTTTCCGCATTGTAGTTACATGAGCAACATATATACAACATTCTGTATTCTTTCACCATAGACCGCCATGTTAAAAATTGTCATAACCATGACACGCATCAATCAAAGTGTGGTCATTCTTGAAATACTGAATGAAAAATAAAACTGAAATTATGTCAGCTGAGATGATTCATGATACATGTGCAAAATATGAACAAAATCAAACGACAAATAAATTCAAGATAATTTTTCTAGCTGCACCAAATTAACATGTAAGTCTATGGAAATTATGCACAGTGACGAATACTTATGTCCAATGACTGTACCATAATAGTACCATTATAAAAAAAAGCCCGGTCTTACACATGAGTGTTGGTGAAAAGGTTGGGCAAGCCCGCAATACTATCTAAATATAAAGTTTTGCAACCATCGGGATTACACGAAGTAATTGGCTTGCAACGCGCCTGCTTAGTCCATATTAAAATACATTTTACATCGAACTACGCAGTTCGGATAGGACAACACCAACGGACCGGATGCTCACGGTTCCCGCACAAGTGACAAGCCACACCTGTATGTATAACACATTCTGCGGCCTGCCCAGAGAGAGGAAGATCATTGTTGTTTCCCAGACCTGCGAATGACATTAAGAAGATAAAACAAGGACTGGTCGTCTTGAAGCCAGTACACTGTGTCTGTGTGGTGGTGTATCCTTGTTTACACGGCCGACTATACAACTGCCATAAGCTGGAAATACTTTTTTAGCATGGACAGGTACACGCACAGGGCACAACACACGTCTGTCTATAAGGGCACGATTCTAGAACTTGAACACGATTCACTTCATCTTACCCTATCCCAACCTACCCGTGAAGATCCGGGTCAGAATTGATCTTCAGTAACCCATGCTTGTGGTAAGGGGCAATTAACGGGATCGGGTGGTCAGGCTCGCTTATTTGGCTGACACATATCATCGAATTCCCAACTGCGTAGGTCGATTTTCATCCTGTTGATCACTGGATTGTCTGGTCTTGACTCGATTATTTACAGACTGCCGCCATATAGCTGGAATATTGTTGAGTGCGGCGTAAAACTAAACTAACTCACTCACTCACGCCATCCCATCCTCGATGACGCTGCTGCATTTTGAATTTTCGGACTTGATGAAACGTGTTGCTAATCAGCGAGTTATCTCCCTTCCATCAGAGTACTTTTCCTATCCTGAAGTTATATTTCATATTACACGTGAATCACTTCGAAGAAAGGCAATTAATCTTTTAGACTTAATTATCTCTACAATATAATGTTACTGAAAGAGGTGAATCTGTTTTTCGGGATAATACATGCAGTTGTTTCACAGAATATGTGTTCTTCAGCATCCAGACAGAAGGATCCGGCAATCCTAGCTCCACATAGATTTACATATCTACAAAAATATGGCCTCCAATCTACACCACACTTGCCACAATTGGGCTTCTACAATCAGGCACCTTTTCTCAAAGGTTCCAACTGGTCCTGTCTGCAACCAGATACTCTAGATAGTTTTCTTAAAGGTCACATGCAACCAAAAAATCAAACATAATTAAAACACAATTATCACTTCTTCATGACATATAATATGCATTGCTGATAATGAAAAAACAAATAAACAAAATTATAAGCGTATAATCGCAAATCAAAAGTGCAATATTTTGTACTTGGGTTTACCTCCCTCGAAACGAAGCAGCCGGGATACCGAACCCAGTCAGAGCGGGTGGGTGTGCACTCAAGTGTAACGGCTGGTTCATTAGCAGATGCCACCTTCACGGGTCATTA